TTTAGCTTCACCTGTTGGATTTAATTGGTTCATAGGCACTGGCGTAGGCAGGATTCTGTCTTGGGGGGGGGGAGGGTGCGGCCCCTCCGCGACCGCTGACAGAGGCAAAGCGGCGGGTGCAAAGCCCTTTTTTTAGGCTTCTCTCCGCTATTTTTGGGACTGTTTATTTTAATTTTGAAAAATTGTTTAAAAAATTATAAGGTCTTGGGGGGGCAAATGCCCCCGTGCCCCCTCTGGCTACGCCAGTGTTCATAGGTGATGAAATCTTTGAATTTTCTTGCCATGTATTAAACAGGTGAAGGCAAAATTAATAAGAATAAAACATTAAAATAAAATAAAAACAGCTATCGGAACATCACATATTTTTAATAGATACATGTAAAAAAAATGAGACTTCTCCAAAAATCATACAAAAAACAGGGTGTTCCTTTTAAAAAACTGCTCATCCATGGGCGTAATTCTTTGGTTTTTGGTTCAAATGATTTTTTGGTACCATTATTTTTGAGTCCTCCAGAAAAAAAAATGTTTCAAATGGCTATTTTAAATTTTCTCAAAAATACAGGGAAAGTCAGAAATAATTCCCTGTTCAGTCCTTGTTGAATGACCCTGTACTATTAACTAACTGACACACACTGGTTAGTTGATCACTTATACATATCAGGTAGTATATCTCTCCATTTGTTTCAATCAATCTGCAGTATCTCCTAATTATGTCAACATATTTAGTTTGTTCGAAGATGGACTATAGTTTTCATTCTATAATATTCCAATTTTAGGTGATAAGGAATTAATTGTTCTCAGTAAATAAATAAAAACTACTTTTAAATAGCTTGAAATACCTCGGCTTACCGCGCAATACTTCGAATTACCACGGAATACTTCGAATTACCTCCAAATACTTCGAAGTACGGCAATACCACAAAAAAGTAGGTTCGAATTACCACCACCGAAATACTTTGAATTTCGCGAAATACTTACGAAATACCGACATTTTCACAATACGTGTACACATTTTTACAGAGTGGTTGACCCTTCGAAATTTACATTACAAGCAAATTGTAAATAAAGCGTAATGTGGGATTTTTAATCAAAAATAGTAAAGAATTTCGGAATGTTACCACATTAATGAAACTGGACAATGATCTTGTCAGAGCTTACCTGGAACCTTACTTAGAATATGCTTCAGTAATATTGGCCACCTACAGCTGAAAGCAACATTGATTTATTAAAAAGTCTGAAAAAAATCTTGAGGTACCTATATTTGAAACAATTTTCTATTTACTCAGTTTTTTCTTTGATTTTGTGGATTTATATAAAAGTATTTATTTATTTATTTATTAGCAAAAAAAAACTATAAAAATATAACATTAGTTCACTACTAGTTGAACAAAGTATGCTTGACACTCGGCTTGAGATATTATGAACTCAAGGTTTTGATTGAGGCGTAAACCGCTAATGTATTTTTATGTATGCCCTATGTATTCATATGTATTCCTTTGTATTCTTATGTATCTTTTGTATTCTCGACTGTATTCAACATCAAGTTATTCTCAGTGCTCCGAACAATCACCTGCCTATGAACTCCATATGCCAAATATGGACAGTCCGCCTCAGAATGGCCAGATCTATGACTTCAACATTTTTCACAGTAATCAATTTCAGCATCAAAATTTTTATGAAATGGCTAGATAAAATTAAAACATTAAATGAGATTTTTGTTTTCTTAGAGAGGAAAAAAACTCCTCATATAAGTTCCCAGCAATCTGCTATTATAACCTCAGGAGACATTTTGTCCATGCCCAAGGATAAAAAGAATCATATCGGGTCTTCAAAAAAAAAAACAATCGAAGATTGCTTTGATTACGAAAACGTACGTCGCATCACTAGGCCTATTCGGGTTTGGAAAAAGTACCGTTTTAGAACGGTCCAGAAGAATCGCACAGTTTATTATTGAAATTTGTGATAGTCGAGTCGTTGTTATTTTGTTGATCAATAAACTGGACGATTATTTTGAACCGTTCTAGAACCGTCCTTTTTCCAAACCCGAATAGGCCTACTGTTTCTTTATTGGTCAGGATTTTTGACATGACATTTTGACATTAAGTTCATTGACAAAATTAAAGAAAAATATTGCTAAGGCATACGTTTGAAAAACCATAGCAATCTTTGATTGGTTTTTTTATTGAAGACCCGATATCTAAATGTCGTTCTCCATGATATTATTGTCAACAGAATACTGTTATTTTGAAAATTACTGCTGATAAAAATGACTGCATTAATTTAGATTTGCCACTAATCATAGACCAAGACATATGATACATCATAATAATATGTCGATTTTAACGAAATTGAAATAGGCGAACTTGAAAACCTTACTGATGACACCATAATATGGCTTTCCATATTTGGCAATCACTGATCAATGAATCTCATATATTCCCACCCCAAGAATTTTGACCGATTGTCAATGATTTTCAGATATTTTTGTATAATTACTAGGTGATTTTCATTTTTCCTGGGGATTCCTATATCATTCTCAATTGATTACCTTGATGATTTCCTACAATCATCTGATTTCCAGCTGATTTTATCAATATGATGTCTAATTGTTAAGCTTCGCATTAATGTGACCAAAATAAACAGTATTTTCTCTTATAAAAACACGTTTTCACTGAATTGACAACTTATGTATTTGCAAATCTTCCAAAAGTTACCAACTTTTATTTTCATGGTTGTCCAGACCCACAACAATTTTGTTGTAGGTATAAATAGTTGTTGAGCCCTAGATACCATTGCGTGTCTACACTGCATAATATGGATAAAAAAATAATGGATATTTCTTTGATTTCACTAGGATGTTCATCTGAATTAGAGACATCTTCAGTTAGCGTTTCACTCAACAAACTTATTTCTGATTCTGATTCAGATGTGCTATCGTCTCTGCTTCTCACACTGCCTAGTATTTATTCTACTTTCTCTTTGTCCTTTTCAAGTTCTTATCGCCCTGGATTTCCGACTTTTTCTTTTGTATCTTCCTCAGGGTCATTCCCATAGCTCTTAATACTACACAAACGTCCCTGCTTCTCTGGAAAGAACCAAATTAAAGTTGCGCCCTGAATAATCTCTAAATTGTAGCGAATCGCAATTGCTAAACCCTGATGTGTGAAGAAATTCTGTGTCTTCTTCTGGCAAGTCGGATTCGACAGATGTTTCAAGAGTCATGTTTCCATTTTTATGCTCTAAAATCTACAACATTGTCATACTTTAGGTCTTAATGGCAAATACACAACTGACCGGTACGCTGTATCGTTTAAAATGTATGATATGCGATTTCTGGTTGAACATGAGATGATATTCCCAGCAATTACCACGTGATTTTCAGCGATTGCCAATTGATTCCTATGTTATTCCCATGGAGTCCTAGGAGAATGATTTCCACTAGTGGTTTACTCCTCGGATTTGAAAAATCTCTCCAATAAATTCACAGAAGCTGAAATTACAGAAAAATCTCCCTTATGTTTGCTTCTAGATGAGCAAACAAGTTAAGTAAATACGGACCAACTCCGAACATTTTATTCCAGCAATAGAAACCTGCCTAAATCTATTTCAACTAGCCGCACCAAAAATACTAGAACTCACAAGAAATCCCAAAAAAGGAATTGAAGAGATAAAGAAAATTGAAAATATTGTAGGGACAGAATTTACATTGAGCTCTACATCTACATCTGAGGATGAATTCTAATGAAGCATTTAATTTACGATTCTTCAGATCGCGTAATGCATTTAGAAATTTCATGTATAGTAGAATATACTTCAGATGGAATCATCTCAGAAATCATAATGGAGAAATATTACGCTGTCGCCTATGACCATCAATGCTATATTGGTAGATGTATTAAAATCTGAGGTAGATGCTTTTACTTGGTCCAAGTTAGACAACATTTCTGAAGTAGATAAATCATACATATTTTATGGTCCTATTAAGTTATAGGTAACCTACCTACCATTTCAACTGAAAAGAGCTGACACATTATGCATTCCCAGGAAATATAAGATCAAGCATCAGATTGTGTGACAAAACAGTTATGATAATTAGCTCAATAACTACTAAGTTTTGCAATATTTCATGTTGATTTTTAACAATTATAATTCCTTGATATTCGAGTTTGTATTATTTGATGTTTAATGAAACTTACCAAACGATTGAACTCTTTCACTATTTTTTTTACAATTTATTCGGCTATTATAAGATTTATTTATTTATTTATTTATTTATGGTACATCTTACAAACATCAAGCAAGTTGATAATGACAAGTAAGGGTTACTATAACTAATAGAATCCCTAGAATCTACCTAAAACTAAAACTACCAAAAATACACTACTACAAATCATCAATATAAATTAAAACAAGATTTTAGCTTTTGGACATCCACATTGTGCATGTCAATATCAAACTTATCAATTAATACATTTGTTCCAACATAGTAAGAAACTGTACAATGGATAGTCACGATTCTGCACAATGTCTAAAATGAGTGCGTAAACTCTGAAATTCGTATACAGAGTGGTTTTGAAACCGTTCCTGGAAACGTTTGGACATGTTGGATTAGATCTATAGTTTATAGTAAATTGGCAAGCTAATGGTGAATAACCCTGGGGACATGTATTTTCTGCCTATTTTAAACTATTTAAAAGAAGATACATAGGATTTTGCATTTCAAAATAATCATCACCAGTAACGGTTGACTGTAAAATTTTTGTTGCTGGCTCCTTGTTACTGGCAATAAGGAGCTCACTTCAGTCTTCACATGGGTATTAAGTAATCTTTAGTCTATATCTAAACTCCACTATTTTCAACCTAGATTTTTTAAATGAAAACTCAAACCTTTACTGGTTGTTTTCTATTTTTTAAACAATTTGTGGAGCACCTTATGAAGAGAAGGGGAACAAAACTCAAATTTATTATTCAAAAATTATCAAATACAAATTTTTGTTTCAGAAAATATTGATTGACTCTTCCAAAAAGAAATAGGAGCCTATTATCAAAACCATCGTCGATCCAAAATGGAAGAAGACAGGCCAGTCCAAGTAATCAAGCACACCATCCCATACGACATCCTCAACGACGTTCTAACCCGATTCATAATCCTAGTTCCTGAAGCCGCAAAGCAAAACCTAATTCGTATTTGCTTCCAAATCGAACTGGCCCATTGGTTTTATTTGGATTTTTATGTTGCCAACGACGAACGTTGCAGACCTTGCAGCATGTACGAATTTTCAGCGCACGTTTTCCAGCATATACCGTCACTGAAATCCGAAATACCACGTCTGCACGACATACTTCAAGAGTGGAAAGAGTATAAACAAAGCGTACCAACGTACGGAGCAATAATTTTGTCTGAAGATTTGACTCATGTACTATTAGTCCAGAGCTACTGGGCTAAAGCTTCCTGGGGTTTTCCTAAGGGCAAAGTAAACGAAGATGAAGATCCAGCACATTGTGCAATTCGTGAAGTTTTAGAAGAAACTGGCTTTGACATTAGCCCATATTTAAATCCTGACGAATATTTGGAGTCTGTTGTTAATGACCAATTAGTGAGGCTTTACTTGATCAAAAATATCCCACGTTCTACTGAATTCAAACCTCGTACCCGTTGCGAGATTAAAGCCTGTAATTGGTTTGCTGTTACTGATCTTCCTAATAATAAAAAAGATTCTACTCCGAGAGTGAAAATTGGAGTAAACGCAAGTGCGTTTTTTATGGTTCTTCCATTTACTAAACGTCTCAAGTTGATATGTAATGGGGCTTACTTTCCAAGGAGATACAGGCAAAAGTCTTCAAGTTTAAGTGAAACTGAATTGAATGCTAGTAAGCACAAGAGTAGAAGTACTCCTAAAGTTGAGAATGATGAAACATTGAGGCAATCGGCTAAAAAACGTGAAAGGAAACATAGTAAGAGGCAATTGGTGTTCAATGAAACAACTGATAATAATGCAAGTTGCCCTATTGTACAAGATTTGCCTGCAACTACAATAGAAGATTTTCCTGCACCTACCAGTTGGCTGAATTTCAAATTTAATAAAATGGCTATTCTTGATTGTTTATAGTTAGGTTTTTTGTTTATTTTTGGATTTTGTGAGAAGAATCACATATTTATTTTTGTTAATGGAGGTTGATTTTTGTAGCAATAATTCTCATTAGAAACTATTTTTTTTTGATTTTCGTTTTTGTGATGTCAAATTGACTTTGTATTGAAATAAGTTTAGTTTTTTTTTTTTGTAGAAAGAGGGAGCTTTTATTATGTATACAAATAAATAAAATTGTTCATTTTTGATTTTTTGTTGTTTATTTATCAAACTTTAAATAAGGCTTAACACATTCTCATTCAAATATCACAGAATTCAAGTGACTTAAACAAACAAAAGTAAACTGGAATAATAACTTCTTGAAAATGTGAAAATAAAAAAAAAGCACAAAAAAAATACAAATTTTGTGTAACATTATACTTACATAAGTTGAGTAGATTCTCATCTTAAAGGCATCATTATCTAAAATAAACTAGCTAAATACTGGCTTCAGATATAAACCTAATTAAAACAAACATTTCTCTAATAACCATAATAATATAAATTGGAAGTTTATAACTTCTCAACCTCATTTTTCAAATTTTTTATTTTCAGCAAAGCTGTATGCAAACTTTTTAGAAGTTCATCACAAGCCAACTCGTCAGTTAACCCAAATGTAGCTTTGTAACAAGCCTTGTAAAACTCTGCTAACTTTGGACAATCTTTAGTTGGGGCAGGTTTGGCAAGGCAAAGTTTCACTAATAATTTTAAAACATTTTGGAGCTGACTCTTTACTAATTTTAGTAAGGAATGATGCGCATTGAAGGGCTCGTCCTCTTTGGTGTGAGAGGTTTTTTGATCCTCTGGTATTTCGACTTTTTTGTCAAGGAGCAGTTGGAGCATCTCATCGAGTTCTAAGAAGTAGCAGAGACAAGTTTGGAGGTGTTTGAGTTTAGAACTTGGAGATGTACTCGCTATAATAAATATTTGTTCAGTATTTGAATTATTATAACTAAAAACTTGCCTTCAGCTGAGAATTCCGCCAATGCTATTCTCTTCATTTGACATGTAAGATAATTAAAAGCATCACCAGCTTGCAAAAAAAGTTTTACAGCTTTTTCATAGTGTCTTTGTGCTAGGGGACCTGCGACTCTTTTTGGATCCATCAGGCCATCCCAAACATGACTATGCAAAAGAGATCCTAAAAAGAAAGTTCAAGTATGTTCTTTTTTAACCCTAAAGATCGTTTTATTACCCATTTTTAAATGTAAAATGCCAGCCCTGTACTGATACAAAGGATATTTTGTGTTGGATTCATCCAAGTCGCAGTGCTCTAAGGCCATTTGTAAAGCTTCTAGCACTTGCTTTTCAGCTTCAGCTTTACTCTGAAATCATGTTATTTTAATAAATGAATTTCAAATCTACTTTTTATCACTTACCACATCTGAAGGTGGATTCTCATATAAAATACAACTAACTGTAAACAAGGCAGTACTTAATTCCCAAGTTACTGCGTCCCATATTCCAGGACACTGTTCCCTTTCACCAATTACACGTAAAGCTCTCTTGTAGCTTTGAAAAGCTTTATTGTAGTGTTTTCTTTCTTGAGGTGTCAGTTCCCCCCTAATATAAACAATTTTTTTTGTATAGAAAAATTTTTAGACTATAATGTGTTATTACCTTTCTTCTGGAGTATGAGCGTGAGCCAATAACCGATGCAAATGTCCCATATTTGAATTCAAAAGAGCTATATTAGCATTGTTGTTAATTTTTTCAAATATTTGCAGGCCTCTGAATAAATAAGGTTCGCTTTTATTGCAAGCATCAATCATATCTTTTGGCGTTTTGGCTGCTTTTGCCACATTCAAGTAGTAACTTGAAATTTCATTTAGACTGTTGGCTAACCTGAACGAAATGCTCTCTGAAGGCGAAATTTTACTAGCTCCATCGTAACATTCTACAGTTTTTACCAACATCTGTTCTATGGTTCTTATGTCATGGACGAAGACCACTTTAGTTTCACTGTCCCCTAAATTCACTTTATATGTTCTGGAAATAATCAATACAGGCAAATTATTTGGCTAATGCCCGTTTTACATCTGTGAATTTTTCCGTGTATTTATTCATGTGGATCAGGGTGCCAACATTATTTTGTTGTTCATAATGCTGATTTATGTTGCGTTTGAAGTTTTTTGTCACCCTGAACTACATGAATAAATACACGGAAAAATATACAAATGTAATACGGGCATAACAAAGTGAGATATTTACCTCTCATCTTGCTCCAATTTTTCCAACAATCGAACATCTTCATCGTGATGAGAATGCAATTGTTCCCTATAGTTTTCCACATCTTTCCAGTGTTGGACTATCATGAAACAAGCATCTCCTGCTCTACCCAATAAGCAACTCAGTCTTAACGCACCTCCTGCACCTTCTAGTTGGGTGCGATCCAATGCCAATTGACATCTGGCCAGAAGGCCTAAGACCCTGAGACATTCCCCATATCTACCCTAAATTTGAATAAATTAAGTATTCTAATTACAACAGTAGAAATATGTTACTTGATTCACACCTGTGAAATATGATGTTCTGCCAATGTAGCATAAACCAAAACAGCTTTTTCCAAAAGTAAGGTTTTCAAATGTCCTTTCCATGAAATGGTATTTGGATCAAATGTAGGCCACTTGGGATGGTAGGCAGCATCATTTGGGTCTTTTGGTAATAGAGCCCTAAAATATTTTAGTTTTAACAAATAAAAGTAGGTAACACAGAAGTTCTCACTTACATCTTATCTTCCAGCACTTTCCCTTCTTTATCTTTCTTCTTTTTGTCCTTTTTCTTTAATCTCTTAGAACTATTGCGATGCAAAGCTTCAGCTTCAGTTAAACTATTAGACTTTCCATCTTCATTCAGTTTTCCGTAAGGCATTGGAATAGGCTCAAATGGTTTAGCCATTGGCACCTATAGAAGAAAGATATAATAACCATGCAATGCAAACTTAATTTTGAACTGACCTCCTCTTTGTTTACTTCAGGTTTTCCATCGCCATTCTTTTCAATAAAATATTGCAAACAATTTAAACCTGCCGCCACATGACCTATTGATTGGATGCATCTCTCTTCTAGACTTCCAACAATAGGCGCAGGAGGTTTGTAAAAGTTTGTAAACTTCTCCGTGCCATTCGGTTTTTCCAGATCAAGCACAGAAATTGAGTTTCCTAAAAAAAAAAAATTAAAATAAACACCTAATTATTGTCCTACTCCAAAAACTTCTCACCTAAATCTTCGTCATCATCATCATAAACACTACCCTCATCATCATCCTTTTGGAATTGTTCCAAATTTGGATTTTCCGGATTAAGTTCAGCCGGAATATACAAATCTGACAGCATGTAATGGGATGAGGTTACTATTTCAGGATATTTTTCTTCTGACAAAAGTTTTACTGTGTTTTTGAGAAGCATACGAATTGTGCCTGGTTGAGGCCTACTAAAATAATAATTCAGATGGGTAAATAATACATATATATTTTTTTTTAAATATATTATATGGACCTTACCTATCCAGTGAATTTTTCATATTCCTAGCTACTCTATAAAGCAGCATAGCAACAGGTATAGTAAACGGGTTTTGACCTTTTTGAACATCTTCTTCAGAACATAAAGATGTCAAATCATAAAGTTTTACAACCTGAAACAAACTGTTTAATCAAATAATATTATATGAAATCTATGTAATATTTACCTCCTCATCTTTTCCCTTAAATAACCAATATGTATGTCCAGCTTTTGTTGCATTAGATTTTAAAAATGACAGAATACTTTGGGCAACGTCCCTTATCAATTTAGGTGAAAATTTTGAGTTGCCCAATCTGCAACATCAAAAATAAATTAGTTTATATTAGTTTTAGATATATATTAAATTCACCTGGGCAAATCCTCTGTCTTGATCAATTCATATTTCTGAACTATACCATTCAAATGATAGCACATAACAACTTCAGGCACATTGGACATTAAATTATCCAGCCAATAATCAATTCCAGTTAAAACTGAAATTGGCTTGTTCATATCTCTCAGTCTGTAATTTATTTGATTTATGGAAATAAATTTAAAAAAAAAAACAAATTTTTACCTCAAAGAAATACATGGATGAGTACCACCACCAAATATAGGCATATCAGTTCCAAGAAGCATTTCAATATCCTCAAAAGTCCACACTACGTTTCTATTGAACTCGAATGGATTATCACCAGGACATTCTGTGGTTGGTGACGGATCTGGTAGAGGGGGTGTTTGTAATGTGTAGCTAGTTGATGGTTGTAACGGATAATTATTATGACGGGGACTGAAACTTGTTTTTTAGATTTATGTTTCAATATCTTATAAATATGATACCTATTACTAGTGTCATTTTTATCACAATCTTCTCCTTCAACCAAACTGTGGTACAGGAATTTGGAAATAAGGTTTTTTTGTTTTAGGGCTTTTTGTGTCCTGTAATTTTAAATCTTGAATAATTTGTTTCAGTTGTTATAGTAATTGTTTTACCTATTTTTAATATACAAATGCCTATCCTCTTCACAAGTTTCTCTATTAATGTTTTCGCAAAAGAATTTTTTGAGCCATTCCCATTCGGTTTCTGAGGTTTTCAATAAATGTTTGTAGATGTCGAAATCGTCTAGGAAAAGAGTGTTTTCAACTCGGTGGACCATCATACTCACGTGACTTTTGCTGTAAGGGATTTTCAAAAGGTTTTTGATGTTTTCTGCGTCTGAGACGACATCAACTTCACCCACGCAATCTGGAAACATATGGGCCATTCGGAAACTAAAAATGATTTCGATTTAATAATTTTAATGAGAATGCTGTTTAAACAATGTAGGTAATCAATTAGTTTACAAGTACCCGAGGGGGTAACCACTCCTTCAAAAAATGTACACGTATTGCGACAATCCTATGATTTCCTGGCAGTCGCTGCGATTTTTGCGACTGTTGAGGATTGCCATGAAAATCGCAGTGATTTCCAAGGATTGTCATAGATTTCCTGCTGATTGCGGGTGATTGTGAGACTTATTGTGAGACTGTAAAATGATTGTGAGACTGTCAAAATGATAACTTGAGGGACTTCCAGAAAGCCGACATTAATAATCTTGATAATGGCTGTGCTCTTTTTTAACTGGCAGTACTGATTTCTGCTGTATGGTTTTTACTAAAAATTGTCGTTTCTTTTTAATCAGTGTATTACTCTCGGTACTACTCGTTGATTTTGGTACGGATTTCAGTATTGAATGAAAAAAAAAACCTAACTACCTATTATAGGGCAATCCAATCAATATTGTGGCCTAAAGGAAACAGTAAAATTGACGCCATAAGGATTTCATTTACGTTTATACCTCTCTGTTTATACAACCAAACAAAAAATTAAAGAGCTGAAAAACTAACCAAAAGACTTGGGTAGTTCTGCCTTTTTGCGGATGACCGAAAAAAGGCATAATGAGCTCTAAAACAAATCGTGTTTCAACGTTAAAAACCTGTGTTTTGTCTCTCCAAGAATGACATAAAACGAGACTTTATTATCACGAATCACAATATAAGAATGGCTTCCGCAACAACTACAATACATATCACATATCGCAGACATTTTTCAAAAAATTAATCTTTCATACCAATCAAAAACAGCAATTTAGAGGAAAAAAATCAATAAAACTTAGTTTTTAAACAAATACACATCACAGATAACAGATGTTTGACCTATGTCGCCATATTGAATGTTTTTGTGGCCCATGTATCATGTTTCATAATACACTGCATAGTATTTTTCACAATGGATGTCTTTTGCTTCAGATGTTTTGGATTGCACAATTTTTTCCTTGATTTTTTTGTTGTCCAAGGAGTTATCTAAGCGAGCCAATTCAGAATCTGGAGTGAAGTCCTTCTTGAGATGTCTATTAGGTCAAGATTTAGAGCGTAGAGACAGGTTCTTTTTTTATGTTATACTTTTCTCTCGGTTTCTCATAGGAGGCTGTCATCCCTCTGCAACGAATCTGCCTATCAGATGAAAGTTTTCCTTTTTTATCAAAAAATAACCAACTAGCATTTCCGTTGCGTTATCAGTGATATTCAATCTAGAAATATCATTGGTCTTTTTCAACATCTTATCACTATAACTTTTTGATATTCAAAATGTCAAGGTTTTCCCGTGATTGTCGAAAGATTGTGAGATTGTTAAAGTGATTTCCGCAACTGCCACAATCAATAAAAACACCTCTCATGGGATTTCCTCCACTGTGGCTGCGATTATGGGACTGCGAAGGCGATTGCGGCGACTGCCCATTGAGAATGTGGGATTTTCTTACGACTGCGAGGGATTGCCCGCAATTTTATCAAAAAATATACACGTATTGCGAGAGTGGTTACAACCTCGCAAGTACCCAATTACTCTCAAACCTGAAATATAGTTCGAAGTAGTCATCAATTTTTCTCATTGAGACTAATGAGACTTGTTTATTCAATATTTTATATAACATGTGTGTAAAGCCCCTTTTTTCACTCATGTACTTATCGTTTTCTTTTTTGTGCTAGTTTCTATGATTTAAGGGTGGTTTATTCACCTGATAGATAAACTCTCAGGCATGCAATCTGACAGCCAAAAATGCAATCTGCAATTCTATTGGTCGGCAAGTTATCCGCCGACCAATAGAATTATAAAGTTTATTTTGCAGATAGTTACCTACCAGCAAGTATGTATGAAGATGAGTAAACCGGGTCTTAGGCCAAATTGCGTTTTTATCTGTCAGATTGCATACACTTGACTCCGACAGTTTATCAGAAGGTGAATAATTCAGCCCTTAATGATATTATGGACCTTATAGAGCAATTTATTACCTAGAAAATCCCTTCTGATGGTAGATAACCCTCTGTAACCCATATGAGTCTGCAGAACTGCTAAGCCAATTGGATGGTGGCAAATTAAGGTCTGTATTGCACTGGAGTTTTGCAAAAGTAGCCGGTTTTGGGGCCGAATACTTAACTATAGCTGTGGATTTCACTTTTTCTTGTTCGGCTTGGGCCTGATCCGCCTCAGGATCTATTTCGCAATTTTCTTCCGACATGATTTCAGTGTTTTGTTGATGTTTTATATTGTGATGTTATTTAAATGTTGTTCAACGATATACTTTACTAATCGATTCTTAAGATACTAGAGTTTCTTGTTTCTAGAACTTCTAGAAGCAAGTTTTGTGGATTCTAGAACTTTTCTTTCTTTTCCCAAAACATAACAAATAAAAGTTAGGTTATGATGGTTACTTACACATGTCTTCTTCTTTTTTATCTTTATGAATGAACTAGGAATGTAAAAAACACCAATGACGTCACTGAAGATGCTTAGATGATGCGAGCTGCGGTCGAAAAATTTCTTCCTCCTTAGAGCCAGTTTCTCAATCTCTCACCTCCGGGTTAGTTTTAACTCCAGGGTAAGCGTGTCCAGTTGCTATGTTTACACTGGAGTTATGCTTAACCCGGGGGTGATTTGCTATTGGGAAACCAGCCCTTAGGGTCAGGGAATATTTGATTTGAGTTGCAAAGGATTTTCAAGAAACTCGAAAAAAAATAATTATTAATGAAAATGTGGGTTGTTTTTCCTCGCTTCTCCATCCACAGACGCGTTTCGCTCTATCAGAAATCATCAGTGTGGCTAGGAAAGCAAAGAAATCCAAGCCGGTTTTCTCGCGTTCACTTTTTTGAGACTGGTTCAAAACAGGTTTGAAACTATATTCTCGCGATGAACCCATGACGTCACATCAAAATTGGTTCAAACCATCGCAAACCGTTTGGAAATACAATCCAGTCCACGTTTTCAAACCATTTTCTCGAGCCGAGAAGTTATGACGTCATGTGACCCTGTTTTAAACCAGTTTTGAAAAACATTTGAGACGCGAGAAAACAGCTCAAGCTTCATGCATGTAAGGGCCAGTTTCCTAATAGCAAGTCACCTCCGGGTTAAGCATAACTCCAGAGTAAAGATAACTGGACAAATGTTTACCCTGATGTTAAAACCAACTCGGAGGTGACTCTACTGAGAAACCGACCTTAAGCAAACTAGATGGTACTGATTTTTTGGTCGGCCTTTCGATGATCAGTGCTAAAAACAGCAAAATGTCATATGGTACCGCATTCTAGTCATAGATGGCACCACGACCAAAAATCTACCATCATGAAGATTGATATTGGGGGTTTATTAGCTACGATACTTTGGGTAAAAAAAAAAGAAATTTTAATAAAAATATTAAATCTTATTCAACTACTACCAAATGTAACATTTATTTTCTGGATTCATATAGGAACCAGACGGACATCCAAAATCGCTGGAAAATTCTTCCAAATTTTGCAGTGGTCCATTCACCTGAAATAAAACTGATCAAATCACCGCATTTCTCAATAATTTAAATTACCTACTCTAAATTCACTGGGAGAATGATGATAACGATTTCCAGAATATTTGTCTTTCAAGTAACGCGCTGGATATTTTGAACAAAATTGTAAGGCACTTGAAATCCAAAATAATTGTTTTGGTGTGTATTTCAGCCCTATTACAGAAAAAAAATTATTAATTAACTTAAATGCCATTGCATTTTTAGTGTAAAAAAAATTACCTGGTAAAGCTTGATCCCGTCCATATCTCCACTCCTTTTCTACATAAGTATCATAAGCAATTTTTAAACCAGCTAAATCTGCAATATCTTCATCTCTCGTTATTTGAGAGTTAGCCTAAAAATTCACCCATTAATCCACAACAAAACCCCCCTTAAAAACACTTACTCGTATATTTTCAACATCCCTTAATTCAAATTGGGCATATTGATTTGAAAGACATTCCAATTTTTTTGAATACCTTTTTACACTCTCAGCCGACCACTTACTAAAAAGCCTTTGTTCAGCCGCTTTGGATTCTGGAACTTTAGCACCTTCTGCGTCCACAAAAATATGAGATATTTGATGGGCTAGCATACTCCCTAGGAGACCGTAATTTATGTAATCTGGACGATTTTTGTTGTAGTAGACACCTCGGAAGAGACCTAGAGGAAATTCTGCAAAATAACCAATTACAAATGAATAGTTTTTTAGTTGATATTTTTTACTAAGAGTATTTTCTGAAGGAGAATAAATCACTTTTAAACCGCTAATAAAGTTTTCAGTTTTCATCCAATCGTCCTTAACAGGTTGTCTTAACAGTCCAAAGTGTAAGTCCCAAGATATCGAATCTAAATCCAATACTGCATTAAGTAAATTGTTTTCGTTTATATGAATCTGAAATAATTCAAATATTTTACGTTAGTTTTAAAATTTAACATACATTTTTATGACTCACAGAATCATAAATCGAAATTTCATGAAGCAAATTCAAAAAATCCATGTCCGAGTATATTTTCGTCAGACTTGACATTAACATTTTCATTATCTTTCTCTTAGTTTCTTCGTCGAGCCAATTCATCATTAGAAGATTCGTTTTGAATTGTTGCTTAACATTTTTAATTAAAATCGTCATATTGTATTTGGTATCTTCATCGAAATACCTCTCAATGTAGCCTATATTGATGGGAGCACTTAATCTAAGAAATACTTTTTAATATAACTATTATTTAATTGATTTAAAAAAAAAAAAAAAACCTTTTCCTAGTTGCTTCAACACAAACACCTTCCCTAGGCTTTCTGTAAAAATGCCCATTGACCTTTCTCAAAAAATCATAAGCTTTATCCAGGATTCTGGCTGGAAGATAATTTATTAAAGATTGCACTAGATGCCAACCCATAAAATTTGCCAAAACTCTGTAGATGTATACATACGATTAATTATGAAATTCAATAATTGGAAAATTTATTTACAAACCTTTTATCAGTGCGACTTAAAAGGGTCTCCAACTGCTGAAGATAGACAGGGTCAGCAACATTAATTATATCATCTAGCCTTAATTGAGTAGTACTCAAAAGAATACTTTGCAGGAATTCTGCCCATCTTATTGTTGGATAATTTACAAATAAATCAGTTAAACTGTGCGGATTGTACGAATTGGTTTTATTGTATTGTTTTGCCACATCCGAAATCTATAATTTTGACTATGAAAACATTATAGCTATTTACACTCATCAAAAAAGTCTAGGGAACAAGAAATATTCGTCTTTTAATTTTTAGACAGAATAACTTTTTTTTAAAAGATACCATATGGGTATTTGTTGAACAAATCTTCTAAAATTTATCATATCGGCTTTTCCAGCAGGCTTTAACAAAATTTAAAAATCTTTTAAAAGTATATTTTGTTCAATTTATAAATGTATTCAGTTGCATCTTGTTCCCTAGACTATTTTGATGTGTGTATTTTGTATATACATACCCTTCCCAACTCCACCATAAAGTTTAAAACGTCGTTTAAGTCTTGACGAAGATTTTTCGTTTTCACATTAAACTGCGAAGCAACCTCATACATATAATTCAAAAATGTTATTTTTGTATTTGTACTAATATTTGAAGGGCTGAAAAACCTGTCGTGTATCTGTAAACATATATATATTTATTAATTAAGTTTTATTTACTTCAATTGCATACTCCTAAGATGTATCTCTCGGGATTTTCCCTATCAACTTCAACAGTGACATTGAAAAAGAAGTCAAAATTAACACCAAAAGCTCTTAAAACTCCTGCTGCTTTACTCCAAACGAAATTATCCCATTCTTTATCGTCGTCTTCTAAAATTGGCCAACCCCCTATTTGTTTAAAGAGTTGCTCCAAACGCGATAAACCTGCTTTTTCTATGGCAGGAAGATTCATGCAAGTTTTGTAAAAGGTTTTTGCGAGGTTCACTGAAGCTAAATCGTCTTTATCGATGTCTTCTTCTAACATTTTACTGAAATGATCTGATGTTATCTAAGTTTTTGAGAATAAAATCGCTCACTTGATGTCTAATTGTATTTGTTCTTCCATGAGCAGCTTAACAGATTGCATCATAAATGGATCTTCAAAAGAGTTATTTTTTAAAAAAGTGCCACAAGCAAACCTATAAAAATCGTCGCAAGGCTTGTATCGTTCGTCAATGAAACTTAAAATTTCCATTGAAGCGTCATGGCATTCTGAGGTTTTGCAGATCACGATTTTATCTAAAGAAATAATTTATTGAAGAAATATTGGTAGTTTTTTGTGACCTACCGGAAAAGAGAAAAAAGTAGACTCCCACGCCAATAGATACGGTAATAGCGAATCCCAAAATGCAACAAGTTCCTTTCCTTTCGTTTTTGCTACATCTTGCCCACCTTCGCGAAAAACTGTTGTCGTTACGAGATCTGAGTATTACATCGTTTACATCTCTGCAATGTTCAGCTCTATATATTTTTTTTTTCAAAAAGAGTAAATATAGGTTGAAAAGTAGACAAACATATAGATTATGGTCGGTTTCAGATCATCAGATAATTGATTCAAATCAAATCAAAATATGCTTTATTGTCTAAAATCAAGTTTTGTTGACAAAGCTAATAAAAAAAATAATAAAAAAAAGTATTACATAATAAGTATAAGTGCAATAATAAAGGTCGAAATAGATTCAAACATTACAGGTCCTAAGGTCAACATACAAAATATAAAACAAGCAAACACAACTAAGTCTAAGTCTAACACGAATATTGGTAAACTTCAAAAAAAGATAAAATTTTAATTTTAAAAAGCAACAGATGAACAGGAGAGATCAAATCAATACCTACTCAACAGAAAGCAGGAAGTAAAACGGTTTAAAAATACAATAAAACTTACAATTATTAAAAATCAGACAAATAGTGAAATTGAAATACTATACAAAAAATACAATAATATATTCCAAATAAGTTAAAAGTTAAATAGTGTCACCATAGTATTCTTTTAACTCATAATATGCCTTAATTAAAAAAGCATTAAGTTGGAATTCTAGAAAAAAGAATTCAAAAATTATGTAAATTTATCTAAAAAGATAGGTCCAGTGTACAGTTTTCCACGGAAAAAATTGAATGAAAAAAAAAAAAAATTCGCTAACTTACAATTTGAATAGAATAAAAAGAACCGTCGCAGAAGAGGGTGCAAAATTTGTATTTGTTAATTACACATACATAAATGCTTTTCTTTAAATCATGATTATGATTATTTTTTTGTCTCTAAACTCACCCATTTTCCATGTCCTTCTTATTTTTCATTACCCACACTTTAGTAAATAATACAGAGCGCTTTTTTGAAGTACAGCAATAGTTTTAAAAAAATGTATGAACTAAAAGCAACATCATTTTATAAATGAGGTGCACTTTAAATGAATAAATAGAGCTTGGTGTAGGCGGATGGTGCTGTGTTAAGGGTCAAAATGATAATTAATAAAACTTTAAGTAAAGTGAATCACCATTCCCATAGAGAAGGTAATTTCTGGGACGTGCTTAATTTTCTATAATTATGTTATTATTATTGGAATTATGTAAAAACTTATAAGGGTCATAAGTACCCTGAAACTCTACCGATCTTGAAAAAAAAAGACACAATGTTAATACATGTATTAATCACATGACAAGAGATGGATGTGGTAGTCGATCGCAAAGAATTACAAAAACTATAAAAACTCAATTTGGAGCAAATTCTATAACATTTTGAACTTATAAGGGCCATAAGTACCTTGAAACCGATCTTAGAAAAAAAGATGACTTTTCAAAGTTTTCCAAAATCTAAATCATAAGGTGACTTTACTAAAATGATGAAATTTCAAAAATTTTTTTGGTGAGATTTTGTGTCCTAATGGTCCTTTTTGATCACCCAACCTCCATACACTAAATTATTCTGAGATTTGGAGCTAGATTCTATGAAAAAAGGCATTCAGAAAAATAGATAAATCACCCCATATTGCTTAACACGATTTTATCTCAGGAACTAAGAGTCCAAATGAGCTGAAATTTTCAGGGATTGTAATCCTCTACTGGGATAAGAATTGCTGAAAATTTCAGCTTTCTATCATCTCTAATAGAATAAAAGTTATGACCTTTCAAAGTTTTCCAAAATCTAAATCATAAGGTAGCTACCTTTTTACTTTTTACCTACTATTTATTATTACGTTGAAACTTAATTAAATTCTCCAACACAAGAAGAGAGTTTTTAATATTAAGTAAGAGCCAAAATAAAATTACTTATCATCATTGTATTATTTATTACCAAATTTTCAAGACCACAAAACTCATCATTACGAAAAAAAAATTATCATTACCAACTAAGAATAAACCATAAGGCACAAGTGCTCTTAATATAGCCTTACACATTAAAGTCAAGTGAGATCACAATAATAATTATCAACAAAAACATTTATTAATTTTATACCAAAATAGTATTATCAACTATTGGGAGCCACCGCCGTTCTAGTTTTATTTTGAATAGGTAAAAACAATTTAAATTCCGCTGGTAATTCGTCTTCAGAGTAAAGCCTATCCGAAAAGTACACTCTGCGTATTCTGCAATTAGCGTGGACTTGTACTCTTAAAGTTTCCACGTAATTAGTGCCGTAAGCTCTTCGTGTAAAGTCTGCCACATTAAATTGTATCTGATTCCAGCCTTCGTCTAATCTCATGGGCATGGTGCAGATGAAAGGTTTGACTCTGGTTGTCGATTGGTAGTTGCTGGCTCGAAATCTTCTTCTGACATTTTTGTCGTCTAATATCTGAAATAAAAATTGAAATAACTTAAAATTATTCATAGGCCCTTTTTAAATAACATAATAATTCAAATTGACTTTTCTATGGTTTAAACCCTTGTTTGAAACATTAAATTCATTCTCTGGATTGCTGCGATTTTTTATACTTGAAAATTAGTCAGTCATATGCATAAAGTGGTGCAAATGCTTTTACTCTATCTCAGTATCTTTTTACTGCATTGAAGCTGAATATGTTTATCCCAAAAAACTCAAGCAAAAGCATATGCTCATGTTTTATGTATATGACCCAGTATTATGACAATGTAGGAAATTGTAGACTTCTAAGAAATGGCAGCAATTGCATTGCTACATTCTCACATAAGAGTATGCAGAAAAGTGTGTTGGACAAATTTCATCAGAGCCAGAGCCCAAGCAATTTCTTCAGAAAATGTAAATATACTACAGATAGGACTTCAGGGCTGGGACCATGTAACTGACTTGCTATGCTCTTCTCTCTTTTCAAAATCAATAGAAAGGGAACGCCAATAGAGATAAAGAAAATATCTCTTTTCATTACTACAACTACAGAGTCCCAGCCCTGCAGTACATTTATGTTTTCAGAAGAAATGGCTAAGAAATTTGTCTAACACACTTTTCTTCTGCCTCTTGCATTAAAATCTCATGATCTATCGACAGGCTCTGAACAAATCTACAGACACTAAAAGATCAGAGATGACCGGTGTCTATTTTTGTTTCAGTTGTGTTTTGGAGTGCCATAGTTATGTTCAATAATACTTATAAGAGCAGATTACCCTAAATGAAAGTTAAATTTATGATCAGATTAGTTACAGGTGCTTAAACTGTTGAATAAACGAACCTGTACTTCAAAAGTAAAATACTTCTTCAAATTTTTCACAATCATCACCAAATAAGGCAATTTAATTCCCAAAGTCTTCCTAGGATCCGCGGGACAAGTTATGTAAGTAGTACTGACGTTACAGCCCACAATTTCCAGCACCAACGACTGAATATCCTCGTCTGTGATCCTCTTGATGTGACCGTTTTTCACTTTTTTGTCCCAAATTTGCAACGGTTTGCTTCCGATACTGTATAATATGGACAGAAAGCCGCTTTGGAACGTGTTTTTGAACATTTCTGGACGTTAATTACGGAAATTTATGCGAATAATTGAAATTGGACCAAAGTTTACATACAAACTCAGAAAAAGCAAACCAAACAAACATTGACAGAAAAAAGTAAGGTTATGGTGAACTTTTGACAGAGTCAAAATTGATGGTATTCTATTTTGGTGGAGTCGTTTCAAAAATAGAATTGACTGCTCTCATCTCGACTCTCGAGACTAAATAAAGAGAATTAGGGTTGCGTTTAGAAATAGCAATCTGGGTGTGAGAGTGACCCTAGAGTAACTCTAGACCGTTCATAAATTACCAGGTGCTTACTCGGAGCGTTACGCTAGAATCGTTCAGAAATCGAGAGTTGACGCCAGAGTACGCCCAGAGTACGCCCAAATGACCCCAAGGGACTGGGTTGAAAAACGCCCCGTGGTTTTTACAGAACTCTCCGACAAACAACTACTCTACCCTCACACTCCATTTCTAAACGCACTCCAGCGGTTCTGACTCAGAACGATGAACTACAGAGGATGGTCACATCCTTAGTCACATCCAAGGATGATATACACTACTACTACAGGATGGCCTATCCTCATAAGGCCTGTGTGTAACAAATTTCCCCTACCCTCACCCCCCGCGCCAAACAACCTGGTGTGACGTAAGCAGCATGGCGTTTCTCGCCTTGACGTAGGCTGTTTAAACAGCTGACGACTTAGTTATGACACAGTATGACGTCCGCAATGGTTGAAAACCAATATGGCGGCGATTACCAAAAACGAAGCCGATAAGCACTCCTTAAAGTGTGTATTCTCCTTGGGTCACATCGGCGATTTTTTTCCGCCAGTTTAGCGCGAGCACGCGCTGCCGTAGTGACGTCACCTGACCCACTCGAAACAAGTTTTATGCGTTATTGGTCTACGAGGATAATATGATTTAGCCAATAATCATGTTTATGTCCGATTGATGCGCTGGCTTTCATGTATTTAAATGGTTTGAGTCGGCGGGCTTGAGCACTCAGGTGCAACAAACACTTTTCAAAATTACATTAACATACGACGTCTTCAAGATGTGTTTTAGTTAAGGCGCCTTAAAACTCTCGCCGCAGAAGAGTGTAACATATAATCAAGGAGAATACACACTCGGAGTGCTTATCGGCCTCGTTTTTGGTAATCGCCGCCATATTGGTGTGCCACCATTGCCGACGTCATAACTAAGTTGTCAGCTGTTTAAACAGCCTACTTCAAAGCGAGAAATAATATGCTGCCTACGTCACAACTGGTATTTTGGCTTGTTGGGGATTTGTTACACACAGGTTTTATGAGGATAGGCCATCCTACTGTAGTAGTAGTGTGTATCATCCTTGGTTGTAATGACAAGCGTGTAACATTAATGTACACCAGCAACGTTTTGGTTAAAACGCTGGTATAGGGCAAGGATGATAAACACCTACATGATTGCTTATCGGCCTCGTTTTTGGTAATCGCCGCGATATTGGTGTGTCACCATTTTTGACGTCATAACTAAGTCGTCAGTTGTTTGAACAACCTACGTCAAGGCGAGAAATAACATGCTGCCTACGTCTGAACTGGTGATTTGTTGGGTGGGGGGAGAGGGAGGATTTGTTCCGGGGATTTGTTACACACTAGCCTTATGAAACGTCATTTATATTATTTTACTTTGTTAACACGTTGTCTACATTGTCTACATAGTTTATGGCCGTTTCCACTAATTATTTTAGGGGAGCCCTAACGATAAGTATTCCCTAAAATGACATTTTTACATGGAGAAATGTCAGTTTAAGGCATTCCTATCGTTAGGGCTTCCCTAAAATAGTTGGTGGAAATGGCCATTACTATTTTACCTACGAGCGTGCGGTAAAGTGCACGTTACCGCACGTATTTGAAAATGGAAAGTAGCACTTTACCGCATAGTGTGCGGTAAAGTAGAATTTGATATTTATAATCAAAAATCCTGTCTTTTTCAGAAAATGGATTTTTGATCATTTCTAAATCTAATCTTATTTCATTAATTATTCTGATTCATTAATTAATTTTATCAATGCCTTTTTTTGCAGATGTAGATGCTCATAGGTAAAATTTTGTACCTAACACATGCGGAAAGTGCCTTTACCGCCCTTAACGGCTGCCGTTGCGTGCGGTAAAGTATCACTTTCCGCATTTGTTAGGTACCTAAATAACTATTACGTGATTATCTCCACGTAAAGTAGACAATGACATCCCTGCTGATGAGGATATTCGATCTTGAGTGTGTGTGAATCGCATCCTTGGGTATAGGCACAGCCCTGTATAGGGCAATCAAATCAAAATGGCGGCCGATGCCAAGCGATAAGCAATTAAATTGGAGCCATAAATTTAATTCAAACAACCGTGACATTTTTTTTTTATCAAAACACTGTTGCCTGTATATTTTATGGTGTTTCATGGTGATTTTTCAGTGCTTGGAAGGATAATGTTCCTATTTTAAGATGGAGAGTTTTTATTTTAAGAAGTTATTGGTGGAAAACCCGGATGCTGGCAATTAGGTACTGAAAAAAGGTATAATATTTCTTTCTGATAAACCTTTTCCTACTAAATAATTAAGTAGGTACTATCCAGGATATGTTTCCTGTTTAGTTTTTTCTGAACCAAATCCTGAATCCTGATGTTTATTTTATTTGTCTGCTATTCAAGGTATCTACACAATCCATATACCGTTTATGTGGAGTGACTTTGTGGTTTTTTAATATAGATTTCGTCAGAATTTTTCTCCTTTGGTACAATCCATGAAGCCCTACAAAGTACAGACGTTTTCCTTCGGTAAAAGCCTGTCTTTTGCCTCTACAGGATCAACATGAAACGAGACTTTATCACGATTAGAACGGCTCCCACAACTAAGTATAATACATAATGTATGCATTTCCCAAAAAATCAACACTTTACTACTTTAGAGACTTTACACAAATAAAAAATCGCAATAAAACGTAGTGTATATCAAGGATGATATACACTACTACTACAGGATAGACCTGTGTGGAAAAAATCCACCTCCCCCGCGCCAAATCACCAGTTGTGACGAAGGCAGCATGAAGTTTATTTCAACGATTAGGTAACTAATGACGTTGGAGAATGGTTTTATTTTTGCAAGACTATCGATATTTATGACAAATTCGTATCAATAAGCCTTCCTCTAGCCAGAGAATACCTACTCGAATCTCAATGCGCCTTGATAAAAATCTAGAAAATTGAAATAAAACTGTATTAAAATTATATTCTTTTAATTTTTCTTCTTAGTGTTAGTTTACATATTATTCTATACATTATATTTGTTAAATAAATTTTTGTAAATATTTGCCTAAAAATCGATAATTTATTCTTCTTCCTCTTCCTCTTCGTCCTCATCATCATCGTCGGCATCTTCCTCTTCATCCACTTCAACCTCCTCCTCTTCCAAATCTTCATCTTCAATTTCTTCTTTCGGTTTTTCTTCTTTTGGACCCACGTCTTCGCCTTCAACGTCTTCGCCTTTAACGTCTTCCTCGCCTAGAAAAGAAAAACATTATTCAAACACAATTTAAGTTAAGTTAGACTAACTAAATACCTTCTGGTGTATCTGGGTCACCTGGTCTTTTGCCAGGACGTTCTCCACGCCATCTGGGAAGCTTTTCTTTTGAAAAAATAAAATAAAAATTAATCAGATGTGTACCCTAAAACAATTTGAAAATAAATTGACTCACTTCTTGGACGTTGCATGAACTGTTGCACTCGGTCTCTCCAAACTTTTTCGAGCTGTTCTAAGTAGAGCGTGTCAAAACCCTGAAAAAAATAAATCTCTAGTCAATAAGAATTTTCTTGTTTTACATTTTTACTCCTTGGAACAGTCTTTGTCTCTCATCAAACGATCTTATATCAACACGGCGCTCATATTTGGACGCCAATTGAATTTTTGGTGGATGAGGTCCAGTCAAGGCTTCAGGATCCAGACCTTTTTTTAAAGCTCTGTGCCTTAACTGTTGCCTTTGGCGTTCTTTAAGTTCTTTCAACTAAAACCAATTATTTTATTTATTTTTTTGTTTTTATTTTTTTTATTAGTCACACTTACATCATATTCTTGTCTCTTCATTCTCTCTTCTAAATCATACTTTTCCGTTTCTAATTTTACAATAACGTCCCAAAGCTCAGTTGCTTTTTCCTTGAGTTTGTCCATAGGAACTCCATCTAATGCCAAAGGTTTTATTCTAATGGATAAGGCGATTTTCTTTTCTTCTTCTAGCTGTTCCTTTGTTTTAGTTCTTTCTAGTTCGGCGTCTGATAAACTAGCCTGAAATATTATTATGTAATTTTAATATTAGATGGTTCTACTACTTACAGCTAAGACTTTTTTTTTGATGACAAAATTCAAAGTTTTATTTTGGTGTTGCTCTTTCAAAGCTGCCATCATCGTTTGCCTTTTCTTTTCAGCATCGATGAGTCTTTGTTTTTTGTCTTGAGCATCTTTCAATTTTTTCTCTTCAATTTCTTTTACTCTTCGTTCTTCTTCTGCCTTTTTGCGTTCTGCTGTTGCTCTTTCCTCGTCTGCCCTTGCTACTTTACGTTTAGCTTGCTTTTCCTTTAGCCTATACACAATATTAGGTAATAAGTGAAGAAAAAACTGAATTAGCTTACTTTTTTAACTCGTCTTGTTCTTTCTTCCTGACAAGTCTCCATTCTGCAATGTATTCACGTAATTGCTCATCGAGTTCAGATCTTTTTTGTTCTTGTCTCTTAATGAATTCTGGATCTCCAGTATCTCCTCTGAAGTGAAATAAGTGATTGATTTAAACAAACAAAATTTTAATTAAAAACTTACTGCTCTTCCTCATCCATATTAGCAAATTATCCAAAAGATGTTACACCAAGTCCCGATTGACACGGACTAATCAAATGCCAAGAAGTGTAATTAGAAATAAACTAATAATCATTTGAAACTCTTAAGAAATTTGGGCACAGGGCCTGACAATTGAGGGTATTTTTAGATAGTGGGCCATGTATCTGCAATATCGAAATAGTTTGATTGAGAATCAGTGCGAGGAATGAGTAGTGATGATTATTTTAGACAGGTATGTTTGGCATAGATTTTTTTATTATTTTTTTTAAATTTCAGTTAGTGTTCTGTATGAATATTATTTGAAAAATCCTTCATGTTTTGCAATCTCAGATGTGATATAATTTTTAAGAATTTTTGACCAGGTAGAATAAATTTGGATTGTTCTGGACTACTTGAGATTTCGTAAAAATATCATAAATTTTCAGGAAAGTGCTTAATTTCCTTTTACCAGTTTTCCTGGATTTTTCATGGATACATAAAATATCTTTAATAGCAACAGAAGGGTTCAGATTACGATTGTCACAGGCTAGAATATTTTTCTATTCGAAATTATGATTATTACCGGCTCTTGAATCACTAGAAAACTTTTTGCAGAGGAAATCAAGAGCCGGGAATAGTTCAAATTTTGATGATTACTGGCTTCTGAATCGTTAGAAAATTTTTCTGAAGGAAATCAAGAGGCAAAAAGGGTTCAGATTACGATTATCAGCTGCTAGAATATTTTTCTAGTCAAAATTATGGTTATTACCGGCTTTTGAATCACTAGAAAACTTTTTACAGAGGGAATCAAGAGCCGGGAATAGTTCAAATTTTGATGATAACTGGCTTTTGAATCATTAGAAAATTTCTCTGAAGGAAATCAAGAGCCTAGAAGGGTTCAGATTACAATTATCACAGGCTAGAATATTTTTCTATTCAAAATTATGATTATTATCGGCTCTTGAATCACTAGAAAACTTTTTGTAGAGGAAATCAAGAGCCAGGAATAGTTCAAATTTTGATGATAACTGGCTTTTGAATCATTAGAAAATGTCTCTAAAGGAAATCAAAAGCCCAGAAGGGTTCAGATTACGATAACCAATGGCTGGAATATTTTTCTAGTCAAAATTGTAGTTATTACCCGCTCTTGAACACTAAAAACTTTTTGCACAGGAAATCAAGAGCCGGGAATAATTTAAATTTTGATAATTACTGGCTTTTGAATCATTATAAAATTTCTCTGAAGGAAATCAAGAGCCTAGAAGGGTTCAGATTACAATTATCACAGGCTAGAATATTTTTCTATTCAAAATTATGATTATTACCGGGTCTTGAATCCTAGAAAACTTTTTGTAGAGGAAATCAAGAGCCAGGAATAGTTCAAATTTTGATGATAACTGGCTTTTGAATCATTAGAAAATGTCTCTAAAGGAAATCAAAAGCCCAGAAGGGTTCAGATTACGATAACCAATGGCTGGAATATTTTTCTAGTCAAAATTGTAGTTATTACCCTCTCTTGAACACTAAAAACTTTTTGCACAGGAAATCAAGAGCCGGGAATAATTTAAATTTTGATAATTACTGGCTTTTGAATCATTATAAAATTTCTCTGAAGGAAATCAAGTGCCAAGATGAGTTCAGATTACGATTATCACCGGCTAGAATATTTTTCTATTCAAAATAATGATTATTACCGGCTGTTGAATCACTAGAAAACTTTTTGCAGAGGGAATCAAGAGCCGGAAATAGTTCAAATTTTGATGATAAATGACTTTTGAATAATTAGAAATTTACTCTGAAGGAAATCAAGAGCCAAAAAGGGTACAGATTACGATTATCACAGGCTAGAATATTTTTCTATTCAAAATTATGATTATTACCGGCTCTTGAATCACTAGAAAACTTTTTGCAGAGGAAATTAAGAGCCGGGAATAGTCCAAATTTTGATGACAACTGGCTTTTCAATCATTAGAAATTTTCTCTGAAGGAAATCAAGAGACCAGAAGGGTTCAGATTACGATTATCACAGGCTAGAATATTTTTCTTTCCGAAATTATGATTATTATCGGCTCTCGATTCACTAGAAAACTTTTTGCAGAGGAAATCAAGAGCCAACTGGCTTTTGAATCATTAGAAAATTTCACTGAGGGAAATCAAGAGGCAAGAAGAGTTCAGATTACGATTATTACCGGCTAGAATATTTATCTAGTCAAAATTATGATTATTACCGACTCTTGAATTATTAGAAAACTTTTTGCAGAGGAAATCAAGAGCCGGGAATAGTTCCAATTTTGATGATAACTGGCTTTTGAATTATTAGAAAATGTCTCTGAAGGAATTTTTATGTAGAGATTTTCTCTCTAAATGCTCATTTGGGACCCCCTAACTTCCATGTAGTGTTTTGTTGCGCGATTTGAATCCGAAATCTTTGAAAAAAGAACGCCAGAAAAATAGAAAAATTGATAAATCTACACTCCACATTGCTTATTAACCCGACTTTATCTCTGGAACTTTAGGTTCAACTGAGTTGAATTTATCAGGGATCGATCCTTTACAATCCCTACAATACATTTCAGCTCTCTATCCTTCTTCTATGGAATCCTCTAAGAAGGTTTAATCAAAAGCTTTATTCCCTTGAATGTTTCAATTGAGCTGCTTTATTCAATATAGATATAAGCCAGAGAAACCCTTGATGTATTGCAATTTGAGCAAGAGCAAATCGCCCAATAATTCACAAAAAATCGTCTTTTTCCTTGTTCAACCAGCACTAAAGCAAGGGAACTTTGAGATGTTAGTTTAAGTGTAAAATTTCACTTTGGATACCTACTTCTTTATTAATAATTTTGCCCGTTTTCTCCTATTTTTATTGTGAGGTTCTCCTGAACTAAAACTATTAGATTAACAAGAAAAAAAGTGATTCTCAAATAAGTTTTTATTAAATCTTACAGCATAAATAAAAATTATAAAGAATAAAATAAATAAAACTCCCAATAGAGCAGATACAATTACAAATATAACTTTATTATTATTTTCAACAAAACAGATATTTTAATTCAATTAACATATAAGACAAAGTAGGTAAATATAGGTAATTGTTGGAAATTAAAATAACTTAAAAATTAATATATTAACGTCCGTTGATCTGGCTCTGATGGATTATATATTATACAACTTGTGTGAATACCTCTGAAAAAAAAAATCAATTAACAAAATAACCAAATCAATCAGAAACTCACCTTTATAGAACGACGCATTTATTCCTCTTCTTCCTCCTCGTCCTCTTCTTCTTCCTCTTCTTCAATCTCCTCTTCCTCTTCCTCCTCTTCCGGTTCAGGTTCGAAGGTTGGTTCTTTAAGGTCGTCGTCGTCTACGACTTGTTTTTCTTCCTCACCTTCGGGCGTTTCTGGATCGCCGGCCTTTTTGCCCGGACGTTCGCCGAACCATTTCGGTAGTCTGGCTGTGGGAGTACAAGAAATCGCATAATGTAGCACCCGTAACTTAAATACTAGAACGAAAAGAGGCAAGGAGCATCAAAGCAGATAAAAACACAGAGGAACCAAGTCACAATTTGTTCTTCGAGTTTAAAAAAAAAATATATATATATATATATATATATATATTGCCTATTTGAAAGAAACATGTTCAAATTACTGGAATGTTAATAGGGAATAATTTTTTGTGTAGTTAGAACAATAAATACCCAGGTACATACTTTTAGAAATCTGAAGAAATTGCAAAGAACTTGACCGGTGCCAATTGAATTGTTTTATGCCTTTTAAGCAGCATTAAAAGACTATAGTTTTCAACTTACCCTTTTGTCTGGAATCGAACTGGCCGAACCTTTCTTTCCAGACCTTTTCAGAATTTTCCTTAACAGTATCTACATATCCCTATTTTTGGAAGGAAATAAAGAAAACCAAAAATTACTACAAACAACTAAGAAGCAAACGACATAAATATATACAGGGGGGGAATAAAAAAGAAACAAAATAGTGGGGCGTTGACTTACAACGCGATCTTGTTTTAAAATCTTCTTCGCGTTTAACCCAAGTGTTGTTAAGCTCTTCCGATGTTATGACATCAAAGCCCTAATTAAAAATTCATTTAATTTAATTTAATGTTATGGGACGTATATAAATTTTGAATGAATATGAACACTTACACCTTCGAAGAGTTTCTTCTTGTCTCCATACGACCTCGTGTCGACACGACGTTCATATTTGGAGGCTACTTGAATCATAGGCTGTAAAAAAATAATAATATAAGTAATTGTAGTTATATGATATGATTATAGGAACTTACTGGGTATTTGCCGGTAAGGGCTTCAGGGTCAAGACCCTTCTTCAAGGCTTTGTGCCTCAATTGTTGCTTCTGTCTTTCTTTCAATTCTTTAAGCTATAAAAAAATTAAGATGTAGTTACTGCATTCAATAAATCTAGGTTAATTACATCATAGTCTTGACGCTTTTGCCTTTCTTCCAAATCGTATTTCTCAGTTTCCAACTTGACGATGGCTGCCCACAATTCGGAGGCCTTTTCTCTCAATTTGTCCACGCTCAATCCGTCGATGTTCAAAGGTTTGATACGAATTGAAAGGGAAATTTTCTTTTCTTCTTCCAATTGTTCTTTGGTCTTGTTCCTTTCGACTTGAGCGGGTGAAAGGTTGGCGGCCTGAAAATATTTACAAATAAATTATGTTCATAATTGGGCATGCTGATTTGTGTTATGCAAGAATTCTCCATTGAAAAGCAACTCTGAAAATGACAAGTTGATCTACAGCAACCAAAATAACTTACTCAAACGCAAGATAAAACAGTCTAGAAGTAAATATGAATAAGAATTGCTATTGCTAGCCTCTTCTGACGAGGAGTTTTATTCCTACATATACAGATCTCTTGGTTCAAGGCTTACACATTTCTCACTCAGGGATGTAACCACCAGGGGCGGTTACAGGCCTTTTGAAAGGGGTGGGGGGGGGGGGCAGTTTAAGTTAAAGTAAGCCAGATTGGGTTAGTTTTGGCAGCACATTGTGCAAGATACGGTTTGGGGGAACTATTTGGGAGAATAAGGTGATTTTAAATAGGTAGGTACAGGGTCTTTTTTATGTATTGACACCCCACCTACAGCCTTTACCTTTACAGGCAAGTAAAAGAAAGGTGTACAGAAGTTGTACAGTTTTGGCTGAATTTTTAGAAACCACGGTCAGAAACAATATTTGAATGCCCTATATTTCATTCTATATTCTTGAAGAGCACAATGCCCCAATTCCAAAAATATATAATTTGTCTATATTTGATTGAACAGTCTCTCATATATTCGGCTCCAAAAATTGTAAAAATACTATCCTACTAATAGGTACTGATTTTGTGAACCATTCTACCTATACAGGTGAAAGCTGCTTGGTTTCTCTTATAGTATTTTGAAAATTTTTAGAACCAAATATGTTGGAGACGACTCAACCAAATATAGACAAACTGTATAGTTTTGGAATCGGGAAATTGTACTCTTCAAGAATATAGAACCAAATATAGGGCATCCCGTTTGAAAAAGCTGAAAGCATGCAACATTTCACATTTCTGACATTCAGTTTTTGTTTCTGAACATGGATTCTAAAAATTTAGCCAATACTGTACAGCTTTTGTATTTACACCTTTCATCTAGTTGTAAAGGTGAAGGCTGTAGGTAGGGTGTCAATATATAAAAAAACACCCTGTAGTTGAACAATAACTTATTATATAAAGTCAGAATTTGTAAGATTCTCCAATATGTTGTTCAAGTACAATCCTGACTTGGTTCTCTCAGTTGTGAGTTTTTCTCATTAGTTTAAAAATAACACATTTCAGGTGAATGTCTTACTTGAACAGTTCAATAGTATATTGGTGATTAGATGGCTGCGGAACTCGCTGCGCTCGTCCCGCAGAGGTCCACCCATAACTTCCGCAACAATCCACTTATTTGTACTTGTACAATAAATTATTATATAAAGTCAGAATTTGTAAGATTATCCACTTTTTGTCAATTTGCGTTTCAACAGGAATTAGCAATGTTACTTTACCAAACTAGTAATATATTGTGACAAGTTATTCAAGTACAAACGAGTGGATTGTTGCGGAACTTATGGGTGGACCCAGCCATCTATTCACCAATATGTTGTTCAAGTACAATACTAACCTGATTCACTCAGTTGAGAATTTTTCTCATTAGTTCAAAAACTACACATTTCAGGTGAGTGTCTTATTTGAACAGTTCAACAGTATATTGGTGAGTAGATGGCTGCGGAACTCGCTGCGCTCGTCCCGCAGAGGTTCACCCATAAGTTTCGCAATAATCCACTTATTTGTACAGGGTGTTTTTTTTATATATTGACACCCTACCTACAGCCTTTACCTTCACAGGTAGAAGAAAGGTGTAAATACAAAAGTTCTACAGTTTTGGCTGAATTTTTAGAAACCATGGACAGAAGCAAAATTTGAATTCCAGCTTTTTCCAAATGGGATGGTCCGCCACTGGTAACCACTAACTCCATCCTTAATGATGAGAAAAAAGTTACCAACTTGTTTGCCAAACAGTTTGAGAGTGTTGTTACAAGAGAAGATCTAAGCCATATGCCCAACCTGGAATCTGATACATTCTGTGCTAATTGACTTGAAATTGTAACTTTTACACCTGAGAAATTGGAAACTGCACTCAGATCACTGAATCCAGATTCTAGTCCCGGAGAGAGTGAAATCTCTGTCATTTTCCTGGACAAGTGAGCTGCTGAGTTCTATCACATGCCCTCTCAACCATGATGAATGATTTTCTTAGGAAGGACAAACTACCAAGGGAATGGAAAAATGCCTATTCACAATAAGAAAGACGACAAACTCCTGCCTGAAAACCATAGGCCCATAATCTTAACTATCACCCTTTGCAAATGCATGGAGAAAGTCCTGATATCTGAGGTGACTGGATTTTTGTTCTGAAATCCCAACTTCCCAATACGTTCCTGGCAGGTTCACTTCCACGAACATGCTTGCCAATATTCATGGCTGGACAAGGGCGGAATGACTGGCCAGTCTGTTGATGTATTTTATCTGGATTTTGATCAGTGTTGCCAAAGAGCAAAAATGTTTTGTACCAAAATTAAAGACAAATTGTACCAGATTCAGTAAAAATGTACCAGTTTATAATGCGTATGTGCTTCCTGAAAATGAGGATTATTTTTGATCCAGTAGGATAAAAGCACGTTTTGCTTTGATTTGATGAAAAGTGAAAACCTAAACTAAACACAAACTACGTCAACCAAGAACCACAAAACGAGTATTACATTGGTGGCGCCATCTATTCAAGAATCAAAAATTATTGTTATATCGAATTTATTTACAGAAATACAAAGACATTAGACTAAGTAGGCAGTAAGCTGAAACTCTTTGAGAATTTGGAAAAAAGAAAAAAATTGAAAATTGTACCAAATATGCCAACGTCATACCAGCGTACTTTTTCAAAGCGAATGCTACCAAATCTGGTACAATTGTACCACCTCTGGCTACACTGATTTTGATCATAAACTCCGATCACTATGGTATAGGAGAACTTTTACTAAACCCAATCCAAGATTTTTTGTAGGATCGACAGTTTCAGGATTAAGGTGCATGAAGTCGAACAGTGGAGAACCACCTGGCAAATGCCACTGAATGACAATTCTCCACCTGAGCAAAAACAACCCCAGGATGCAATACTTCATTGGGTCTATCCAGGTAATCTGTGTTGGTGAACAAAATGTTTGGGAATTGTGTCATTGAAAACATGAAGTGGAAAAACTATATCAAGGGTATCCCAAAGAATTCAAACTCATCACAAGGCATTTAAAGATCTCACACTCCAAATGTTTCTAAATGTATAAGTCTTACATAACACCCAGGCTGGAGTACCAATTAATATAATATACATATAATATCTAATACATACATTGGGATCCCTCTTGCTAACAGTAAAGTTGGGTCCCTTCTTGTTGGAAGCATTCATGGCTTGCAACATGGCTTGACGTTTCTTTTCTGCTTCTTCAAGACGCAATCTCTTTTCTTCAATATCTAAAATTTACAATATTTATATTGAAAAAACATTTTAAAATTGTTCAGTTATTACCTTTTTGTTTCTTCTCTTCAATTTCACGTTGACGACGTTCTTCTTCTTGCTTCTTGCGTTCGGCCAATTTCTTTTCTTCTTCGGCACGAGTGACCTTCCTCTTGGCTTGCTTTTCCTTTAGTCTGAAAATCAAATTTTCTCAATAAAGTTCAAAGTTTCAATGTTAGAAGAAGTGACTACCTTTTGAGTTCGTCCTCTTCCTTGGCACGTTGTTTGCGCCATTCTTGAATGTATTCACGCAATTGTTCATCCAAATCAGATCTTTTCTGGTCCTGCTTTTTGATGAATTCTGGATCGCCTGATGGTTGTTCTCTAATAGATCATATTGATTAATTATTATTGACTTTGATTCAATTATATTTAGCTAGTCAAAAAAGCTGTCCTGTTATAAAAAAAAACGCATCAAAAATAAGTTAGGTAAGTCAAAGAATCACCCCTGAAAAAAAAAATGCATTTTTGTCTAAATTTATTTGGGTGCCAATATCTTGTCGCTCCTGTAATTTGAATCTTTTTGAATAAATGTTTTCTCAACAACAACAAGAAATGTGAAAAAAGCGCTGACAGAAAGATCTTGGATAACGACTCAATAAATGATGACAATTCAAATACTTAGTAGGTTTCACTTTTTCAATAGGGGTAATGAAACTACTTTTGTTACAAGAACTCGTAAGCAGGTAACCTCTTGGCACGTGTCAGGAGAATCGTTCCTGTCTGATCACAGACATATCTGCATGGAAATCTCACAAGATGAGAGACCAGCAAAGCAGTTTCGTGATCCGGTGAGGACGAACTGGGAGGGATATGTGGAAAGTCTGCTCACTAACTGCAACCAGGTCAAAACTGGAATTAAAAACCTCACTGATATAGAAGTGGCAGCTAGTAAACTACAGGAGGCTATATTAACCTCTTATCAGAACAACTATCCCTTGAGAAAGAAAAACTCCAGAAAAGATACCTCTTGGTGGAACAGAGAACTTTCTGATCTCAGGACGGATCGAAATAGGCAAGTTTTACAACAGAGTGGAAAAAACAGGCAGGTGGGACGACAACGATTCCACCTTAACCATGAATAATAGTCAGATCTGGAAGGCAAAAATCGAATTATGGAGGAAATACTGCCAAGAGGTTCAAAACACCAAGGTAGCAGCAACTCCAAAAAATTCTGTCCAAAGATTCCTTAAATCCAGTTGGGATCCTTGAGATGGTACCAAGACAGATTCTGGAAGAGAGACTACGGATTCTACTGCACATTCACCTCCCAGAATCAGTCGAAATCATAACAGAAAAAAACTTACCAATTCATAGTAATCAGAAAATCTAGACTACTTAAGAGAACTGGGACACAGCAAAAGAGATCATCACAGTATATTTTATTTTCTATACAGTAGTGGTGAGACCCAGAATAACCTACGGATCAATAGTCTGGTGGCCAAAAGTCGAACAGAGCAAAGCAATAATGGAGCTATCCAAACTTCAAAGACTGGCTTGTCTCTGCATAATGGGTAGAATGAAAAGCACTCCAACTGCTCCAATTAAAACCATACTAAACTTCCTGCCACTTGATATCATTATTAAAGCTGAGGGAAGAATGGGAGTTTACAGACTCAATTGTAGCTAGAACTGGAATCCGAGTAGAACATCCGGACATAAATTTCCTTTTGAATGTGACACCTGCAAAGCAAAATTCAAACAAAAAGGCGTTTTGAAAAATCACAAACTAACACATTTGGATATTTATCCTTTTGAATGTGACACTTGCAGAGCAAAATTCAAACAAAAAATCTTTTTGAAGATTCATCAACAAATACACTCGGATATTTATCCTTTCAAATGTGAAACTTGCAAATCAAAATTTAATCAAAAATGCCTTTTAAAGAGTCACCAAATAATACACTCGGATATTTATCCTTTTGAACGTGACACTTGCAAGGCAAAATTTAAACGAAAACTCGACTTGAAGCGTCACCAAGTGAATTACTCGTATATTTTTCCTTTTGAATGCGACACTTGCAAAGCAAAATTTAAACGAAAACAATATTTGAAAAATATTGTTACAAACTCGCTATTTCAGATGGGAAGTTACATCATATGACCTTGAGAATAAATAGTCACAAACCGTTTCAAACCCAGATTAACTGGGAAAACAAAACAGAAAATTCAGTCCAGAATGGAAAGTTAGTATGGTATGGTTCCAAAACCGACAGTGGAACCGGTGCCAGAGTATATGGCCTATCCTCAAGACCAAAATGGTATTTCCCACTGGGGAAGCACACCACCGTATTCCAAGCCGAAATACATGCAATAGATATGCCTGCGGGAAAATCTGATACAGGAACTTGTGCATAAGGATATCACAATCTTCTCAGGCAGCCAAGCAGCTATTAATGCTCTAGCATGCCAACAGATAAACTCTAAATTAGTGTGGGACTGCCTGCAACTCCATTTAACCCTAGCCAGACAAGTAACTCTTGCGTAGGTGCCGGGGCACACGGACATTGCTGGCAATGGAAACGCGGACTCCTTAGCTAGGCAAGGATCAGAAAAGGCAGTTTATGCGCCCTAAGCCCGTATTCGGAATATCAAATAGGTACTTCGATACGTGGCTGCTCGGACAAATGGATCCGAGAGGACAAGAAAAACCACTGGTATCAAAAACCGATGCAACACTACAGTAAGGCAATGGTAAACTATCCTACAGCAAGATTAGCTTCTGAGATCCTGAAGCTCACGAGGAACCAGATCAGAATCGTGAGAGGACTGTTAACTGGTTACTGTACATACACTGAGGAAACATCTACATAAGATGGGAATCTACCAAGATGAACCCATCTGTACCAAGAGCGACGAGGACGAAGAATCAGCCTCAGACATCTTATTCAAGTGCCCTGCACTCGCTTACTGGAGGATTACTGCACCTAGCGAAGGTGTCAAACCTATTTTAGCAGAAATTCACACAGCAAGGGATACAATAAGCTAACTAGCTGCAGTGTTAGGGAATCACTAAACCTTGCCTTGCTGCCGTTGATCAAATCAATCAATCAATGAAAGTTTCACTTGCAGCGAATAAAATTGTCTCTTTGAGATTGTGGTGGAAAAATGTAAAATTGAATCTTAGCTCCTCTGAACTCTCAGGTAAGTATAGGAATTCTAAAATAAACTTGCAAATTAGCTAATAATAGCTAAAGGAATGGGTAAACAAAGCATGTCTGCCAATGCTAATTGCAGCTGCAGAAAATAGAACTTGTTTATCTATTGTCGACATTAAGGCGAACTTTGTTTTCTTGGCAATTAAAGAATTGCTTTGAGAATGAGATAAGCTTTGTTCTAATTCATCAGGAAACCATACAATGTACCATCACGATTCTGCGCATAGCCTAAAATTTGTGTGTAGAATCCGAAATCCCTAGAAGAGATCAGAGGCACCGCCCTCGGTGACGTCATCGCCTACGTTAAATCGCTACACAATGGGGATACTGTAGACCTAAGTGCTGTTGCATACCACCCTCCCAAACTTACAGATCCAACACTATTGTAGAAAATTAAAACATTTTATAACTAGCTCGTATATTTTACATCAGAATGTATCTAACAATAGGAATCTAATTACATTACAATGAGTGATGACCTTAAATCTATTTCAAGCGCAATACAAATCACAAAAAGCTAAGCCAAAATTCAAAAAAGCATCATTGTGGTGTAATAGAATCCACAATTTTCAAACTATCATACAAAGTTTTTCAGAAGGGTGTGGGTTAAGCTCAAAAACCTCGAAAAAAAATCTCCTCAAAAATGATTAGGGAAAAATCTAGTTAAAAAAAAATATCAGCATTTTCTAAATGGGGACTTACTCGACTTTGGTAGTGGTGGTGGTGGTCCTATGGGATACACGTCACAAGGGGGCAACGGGGAAGGCGCGGAAATAAGGAGAAAAATCAAAAAATTACTATATACACAAAAAAAAAATATCTATTTTCTGGTAGGGTGGTGAAATTTTCCAAAAACAACATATACTTATAAGGGTAAGTCAAAATAAAATTATGATTATTAACAAAAAAACACTCTGTGTGGTTTAGAACATGATTGTCAGAGACACAAACATATAAAAATGTGATTTATACAAGGTGTTTTTAGGACACCCTGTATTGTGTATAAATGGTAATCACAAGAACAAAAAAAAGAAACACTGGTGGATGGTGGACTATAGAAAAAAACTATTCTAATTTGAAAACACATACGGTACTGGATTCTTTCTAGAGGTATAAGGTTTTCTGTACAGGGAAGGGCCTTATTAAACTTACGTTTTTCTGTAAGAAAGAAAATATACAGGGTATTATTTAAAAATAATTTATTTTAATAAAATAATGGGCCTTGAAACAGGAATTTTGATAAACATTTTTGCCGAATTTTCTGAAATAACAATTTGGTATAAAAAAGCTGAAAAACATTAAATAAATTAAAATTATTGTCACTTACGTTTCAACAACTTCTTCCTCCTCCTCTTCTTCACTGGAAAAGAAATACAATTTATTATATTTCGAGAAATAGGTACAAATTTCAAAAAATAGGACTAATTAGAAATGTTGTACTTACGAGTAGACTTCTTCGTCGTCGGACATGATTGAAGGGAATTAAAAACCTCTAGAACAAAAAAGAAAAAAATTATTAGAAATTTGACCAATTTGCATCAATCTGTTTTAGTTTAAATTTTCCTCAAGCCTTACGGTTAAGCTTCAGGGTAAAAGTTACCTATACTACTTTTGGTTTTGAAGTTTCAAGAACTAAATTCCTATTGTGGAAGTTGAAAACAATTTCCTACAAACGCCAGTCTGGTGCAAACGTTTCATTTTTGATGAATTTTAGTACATAATATAAAATTAAAAATAGTTTTTCCACTGGCCGAGTATTGCCTATTTTTCATATACAGGGTGAGTTTCAAGTATAGGACGTCTATCTATTGACGTTCTGAATTGAGTCATTCCAAACTTAAAACTCAGTATGTATTCATATACTAGTTTTTAATAGAGATGAGTTTCAAAAATAAAAACATAGGTACTACTTTTTGTCCATTAATAGTGTTTTTCTGTTAGTACTGATGATGAAGAAGAGACAGTTAAGATTCTTAATAAGGGACAAAGAATATTGGAAATTTTTTTGAATTCTGCGAACTTGATCTAAATGGTTTTTCATTCAACATTTGAAAAACCTTTGTTCATAATGTATATTTTTTCCATAATAAATTCTATTTTCCAAAATGTTGATTCAGGAACGTTATCCCCTGAAAAAATAAAACATAAACGTTTTACGCGGTATTTTACTGGAAAACCAATCCTTAAAGCTGAAATCTAAACCGCCATCGTCCCTGGCTGTATTTGGCAACGTCAGCTACTTTTCAGAGAGACGTTTTGGGCTATTTTCAGCAGCCAAGTCTATCCAGGCTAAAAATAACGTTATTTCAACATAAACTACTGATGCTATTTCGTTACTGGGCGCGTGGATTTTTAAAAAGACGACACGATCGGATGCTAGAATGGAGTTGTAAAATTGGAATGCGATAATTTTCGAAATGGGTTTTTTTTGTGTGTTGCCAATGAAATTTTTTTTCTAGATTTCGTTTAAAGCGGGGTCATTTTACGTAATTTTGGCACCGAACTCTTGAAACTGTTTTAAACATAGATTTTATATGCAATAGGATATTAATTGTGGGTGGGCACAAGCTCAACAAAGTATTTGGAGCAAGAAAGTTTAATATACCTGATTCAAAACTTGCTTCACTAAAAGCGATTGTTTGATTTCCGAGAGATAAATAGCAGATCAATTTTTGTACGCCAAATTGCGGTTTTAGGGCAAATTGTGCATTAATTTCCATAATTCACCCTGATTTTTTCTGATTACATTACCAGTAAGATTGCTCAAGAGTTTCGCTAGTAACATTAAGTACCTACCTCAAATTATAAAGATTATTGAAAACTGCGCATGGGTTAGATTTAGAGATTAACTGATTTTCTTAAGATTTCCTATGATTTTTTCTTAAGATTTCCCCTGTGTTCCTTGATTTCCTCATGATTTCCTTGAGTTTCCCTGATTGCCTTAGATTTTTCATGATTTGTACACCATACTTTCCCTTGCGGTTTACGTCTGAGTAGTGAAATACAGGACAGTTTTTGGTCACCAAATTGCGGTTTTATGGCAAATCATGAATGATTTCCCATGATTTATCCTGATTTCTTCTGATTACCAGTAAGATTGCCCAAGAGTTTCGCTACTAACATTAAGTACCTCAAATTATAAAGCTTATTGAAAACTGCGCATGGGTTAGATTTAGAGATTGACTGATTTTCTTAAGATTCCCCATAATTTCATTAAGATTTTCCCTGTGTTCATGAATATTTCTCTTGATTAACTCATGATTTCCTTATGAGTTTCCCTGATTGCCTTAGATTTCCTCTTCATTTCTCCTAATTTGTACACCATACTTCCCTTGCGGTTTACCCCTGAGCAGTGAAATACAAGTCAGTTTTTGGACATCAGATTGCGGTTTTATAGCAAATCATGAATGATTTTCCATGATTCATCCTAATTTCTTCTGATTACCAGTAAGTTTGCCCGAAAGTTTCACTACTAGCATTAGGTACCTCAAATTATAAAGATTTTTGAAAACTGCGCATGCGTTAAATTTAGAGAATAACTGATTTTCTTAAGATTTTCCTGGATAACATAACCTCAAATTATAGAGCATTTTGAAAACTGCGCATGTTTTAGATCTAGAGATTGACTGATTTCCCATGATTCCCTGAGTTCCTTAAGATTTCCCTTGATTTTCTCTAATTTCCCATGATTGCCCTAGATTTCCTGGCATTTAATGGCATGCAGACGTTTCAATTAAAATTGATGAAAAATGTTCTTGCCTCGACTAGGATTTGAACCCAGAACCCTCGCATATCCAGTGCAACGCCCTACCAGCTGACCTACCGAGACCTGTTTCATTTCTAACTTACCGATCAAGACTCATCAATTTTAAGTTATTAGTTCTGAAGACCAACGGCAACCTTCGGCGGTTATCGTTGGTAAAGGAGTGAGTTAGAAGGTATAAGGGGAACACATTCACAATTAATGGTCGGCTGATGTCGCTATATGTCGACGACGCATCTGTGGTTGAAGGGATAATGGATTCCAAACAACCATTAATTGTGAATGTGTTCCCCTTATAGGTACCTTCTAGCTCACTCCCATTTATGAAAAATTTGATTGAAAAGGTAGAAATGAAACATGTCTCGGTAGCTCAGTTGTTAGAGCGTTGCACTGGATATGCGAGGGTCCTGGGTTCAAATCCTAGTCGAGGCAAGAAAATTTTCCATTAATTTTAATTGAAACGTCTGCATGCCATCAAAATTGAACACACTGTAAATTATATAACAAACGATAAAAATATATATTTTTGTTTCCTTTCGATTTTTCTTTTCGCTAGAATCTTCCCTTACTTTCTTTTTGTTTTGAAGTCGAGATCGGTGAAAACATTTTCCTGTGAAACTTTCAAAGGCTTCACACGCGTATTTTCAAAGGAAATAAATGTTTTGCGACCTCAAGAAAACCAATTTTGTTGTTGTACATTTTATGAAAACCCACAAAATCAAAACAACATATTAATTTTCCATTGTGAATTGTATGGAAGGTAATATTCCGTGCCGCCCCCGAAAGTTGCCTCACGCCCTCTTTTCTAGCCACCCCCGTCCCAAATCGATAGCTAGGATAGTGCAAAACCCTGCTTGGAATTTATAGATTCCTGATACTATTTTAACCCTTTGGGAATTCCCTTTGCAACGATAGGATCTTTTATAGGGCCTTATTTGGGATGCGGATTTTTAAAAGGGTGTGAATATGTATAATAATTTCGTATCTTAATGGTGATTGGGGAAGTAGGTATTACATAAACATATGCTTGAGCTTAGAACTAGAAGATTAAAGATTAGAAATTGAATTTGTAGCTGAAGTAACTTTACAAGTAAAAAATGCAAATGAACCAACAAATTTATAATAGGTATAACAAGACGCAACGTAGAAATAAGACTTCGGAAACGATGGGGAAATGATCTTCAAAAGCAAGAACTGGATCCAGACTACTCTTAACAAAAAAAAAAACATACGGAAGCTATTGGAAAAGGCCTACATCCAGGCGTAGCTGAAAGAGAACTTGACCTTCATTCTCTAAAATATATTTCCATAATAAAACTGTTTGTAATCATCTATTAAACCGCAGTAAATTTTTACGATAAAATGAACATAAAGATTTGAACTTTCATGAAATCCATTTGCTCCTAGTTAATTGCCAATTTTTCCATTCCAGATGAAAGAATATCCATGAAACTTTAAACTAGGTGCGCATTTCTTGTTAACCCCAAAGTGTACCGATAGCAAACCCTAATGGAAAAGTTTCACGTCAGATTTAAGAAAATTGTCGATGATTATTGGAATTAAGATTAGGTTTGGGTTCGATTTCACTCTAGCTGGAAAGTGGGTTTTTCATTCCCTGGCTCTAATATAATAGTCATACACCCTTATGCAGGAGGGGCAAAACTTTTCAAACACCGGGAAACAGGAAAACAGAAGGGCGCATGAGTTTTCCCATTTTTCACGCCGTGGGGGATGTTATTGATCGAGTTGGGCAAGGGAGAAGCAATTTTGATTTGGTTTCGAAATGTTTTAATTTTTATTTGTTGTTTTATTTATTTGATTTTTTTTATTGTTTTCATGAACGGATTAGCCCTAATCCACTCGACTGTTTTCCTGGAAATACCTGGATAAGGGTGCAAAACTGGTCCCTGATATCAGGATAACAGAAACGATACTGGATCAAATTCTCACAGGTAATTATTATATAAATAATTTTATACAACAACATTTCGAATATATTTCTTCTTCACATTTTTACATGGTTTATTTATTGAAAAAATATTAACAGAATTATAGATAAGTTTTATAACAAAATAAATATATGTGCATGTGTGTTAAAATCCCTATTGATTTAAGTTGCTTTGAGAATGCTTCTTAAGGAGTGAAATTTTTGCTACTAGGAACCCATAGATAATAAGAAGTTTTCGCTTGATTTTTATCCCCAAAGTAGTTATAAACAATTTGAATTGCCTACTACAAAATTTTAAATTTTTTCAAAAATGAACAACTCCAATATTACTAATAATGATAATTATTTCTCTGTCAGTTCAAAACTCAGCAATCTCGCCAGCAACATACCAGCTACAACTACTAGGATTGTAGAAGGGAAACGCGTCCCTCCTCAATAGCGAAGCGTTGGAGTGTCTTTTGGGGAAACTCAATTTTGAGGCTAAGAGGGAGAAACGGGAGAAATTGTAACAGTCTCGCAGAAATGTTGCAAGGTGAATCGACGTTTTCTCCCCAAACTGGGGGGATGTTTGGAGCCTTTCGTGTCGGCCAAAGAAAGGCTGCGCTAGGGAAAATCAAGGTGCTATAAGGTTACTGCGAATAACAGGGATGTAAGAGAATGATTGGGCGACAAATGTATTTAAAAAAATTAGATATTTTTTTGAAAATTTGGACTTTGGGCGATTGAAAACTTATGCAAGGGTATGATTAACAGCTTAGCTTACACAAGAAATTCCAATTTTTTTTTTTAGGTCTGCGCCCTATAAAAATTCCTTCCCCTTGAAAAAGAATGTCATCGGTTTTTACTGCACCGCAATAAGGAACTCACGGTAGCAGGTTCGCATGAACTGCGGCGGAACAAGGAATGTGTATGTGAATTTTCACCCTATCTTGCACAGGGGTTAAAAACCTGGAAATTCCCGCTTTGGGATTTCGGGAGCATGGCGAATTCACGAAAACAGTCGGTAAGAGGAACACAGAGGGATTGAAATATATAAGAGGGCTTGTTTGTTGAAACTTCACAAAAGAAAATAACTAAAATATGTGTCTATTTATAGAGTAGGATGTTTTCAGAGTAGATTAAATAATGAAATTGTAGAAAATAAACCTCTTACAAAATTTTTAGGTCTCATCATAGACAATAAACTTAAATTTGAGGGCACTAAGTAAATATTTGTCTGCTGGTTACTTTGCAATCAAAATAGTTTTGTTCTACCGTAAAAATGGTTTATCACTCACTATTTGAATCTCTTGTAAGATATGGTATAGCTTTTTGGGAATTTACTAAAGCAACAGTTTAACTCGATATTCGTTTTACAAAAGAGGGCAATTCGTTATTTATGTAAAGTTGCAGGTCGTGAACATTGTCAACCGTTATTTATCAGGGAAAAAAATTCAACTGTACCATGTCTATTCGTTATAGAAACTGTGCACAGGAAATATTCAGGTTTGGAAACTTGGGATATTGGGTACAACACTTGAGTAAGTTCGAACATTAATATAGGCTTACCTATAACAAAGTCTGCTTTAGCAAAATACTCAATATTCTATGAGAGCAAACATTTTTTTAACCATCTAAGTAATGAACTATTTCGTGGGGGTGTAAAGGATATTTTGTTGCGAAAAGCTTACTACAGCTTGAAGGACTACTATAGTGACACTGTATGACCTTTTTTGTTTTTGAGTACTTTTGTCTTTTATTTACATTCTATAATTTTAGTATAGTTTCAGGTATATGTAATATTGCTTGGATCGCCGTTCTATCAAATTGTTTATAACTTGTTTGTATTTACATTGTTGTACTACTGGTGTTTTTTTTTCTGTTTTACTTTTAAATTAATGCTTTGTCAATAGAATAATTTTTTTTGGATAATTAAATATGATTGACTATGACTATGACTATGACTACCTAACCGAATAAGAAAATTACATTTAAATACCTTGTAAGTATTTGATTTATTCAATAAATCTTTCCTATATCCTATAAGGCCTCAAAACCAATTCTTAAATCTCTCCCACAATTTATACTCCCCTTTTAACTCTATCTGCCAAAATGCTGCCTAGTCCTCCCTTACGGTCAAATCATTTATCCCTCTAAAAAGCTTCACGTTTAAACTTCTCTATTTCCTGCAACCCTTATGAAGGAAGCTGACTTGAAGCTGCCTGCCCCTCTATTATGGGTCAGATCCCATTCTTCGATCCTACCCTCAATGTGCATTTCTGCACATAGAGTCTCTATTTCAAGCGGCACATTTTAAGCCTCAAAATCTCCTACGCCTTCTGTAATCCTTATAAATGATGTCGATTTTGAGCCTCAATTTTATGCCAGAGCTTGTCTCTATATTGAAATGTGTTTGTACTTTTTCTGTTATCCTTGTCAACGGGGGCTCTATTTTACGTCAAAGTTTGTCTCTATATTAAACTTGGGCCTCAAATTTCTGTTGTCCTAGTAAAGGAGCCCAAATTTGAGATGCCTGGCTTCCAATTTGGAAGCTTTTTCAGACATTGGCTTTAAATATCTGTTTCGGTTTCTGTTAGCCTAATAGGCGAAGCTGATTTGGGGTTGCCTAGCTAATTTTTTTATTTTATTCTGTAATAGCTTTCAAGAAAATCTTCAATGTTTCTGATTTCTAGTATCCTGATAACGTATAGGTGCCTGAAACGCTGTGTTGAATTAGAGCCTCGATTTTGTTTGGCTCTAAATTATGGTCTCATCTTTGGTGTCCTGATAGTTTACAATTTTAGTGTTTGTGGTGTAGTTGACGTACGTCAAATTGATTTAAAAAATGATCAGTAATCGTATATAAAAATTTAAAAAAAAACAATGGAAGTCATCAAGAATATAGAAACAGTTGATTTTGTGTTTGTTTGCTTTTTTTGGGTAGGCCTACTTTACAAAAAAAACTCTTTCATTTGTGACGTTTGATCTAGTAAAGGCAGCCCTTTATTATTTCTTTTTTGGAAATTACATTTTTAAAAAAGCCACCTTATTGTCTATCAAATATTAACAAAAATAGTACAGGCTCATGAAATCCTCAAAAAATTCTTAATTTTTCAGAAGCCCCAAACGACGTTACCAAACGTACATCCCTCCTCTGAAATTCCAGAGAAGACATTAGGAAAGACATTGGAATCTTTAGAGTGACAGGATTTCAGAAATTATACAAGGTATATGGCCCTATATAGGGCAACTCTATCCCTCCAAATGGACATTGAGGGATCGGAGGCATCTCTTTGAAAATACCCTGTACTGGGAGAGCAGAACATTGAGTGAAGTAAGTAGGATACACTTTTATTGGAGGCCCTCAGTGACATTTCATTTTAGGACATTACACCTGTACCTTAAGGTTAAAGGTCAACAGGTAAGGCAAAATGTCGAAAACAGAACTGGCAGGAGAGCAGAGAGTAAAAGGAGGTGAGTGTTCCAGGAATTGGGAGAAATAAGGCTAAATCGATATTTCTGAAATTCAATAGACACGTTAAGAAAAAACTTCTACTGTATAGTTGAATGTCTTCTTGGAGTCAAAATCAAAAATTTTTTCTCAATTTTTGTTAGACTTTTCGCCCTAAAATTGCCCCAAAATCTAGAAAGTATTTCCTTTTGACTTTTGAGAGACTCTAGATGATTTGACGTCACTTTGAAGACACTCAGCCCAATCCGAAGACTGCAAACTATCAGGAGAGCATAGAGAAAAATTAGAGTATTTCCATCTTAGAGTCCCGGTAAATTTCTCTGAGCTACGAGAGAGTCTCAAACTGCTCTAAGTCAGCTACGATCATAAGGCTAACAGAAGGTAAGACAAGACTATGAAGCTGAGCGCTAAGATGTAATTGAGTCTCAATATAGATTTCTTTATAGGGATGCTAGAAAGTACTAAGAGAATTGTATGATATAAAATCTAATTATTCATCCGCTACACAAAACAAAAACCTAAAAATAATTCCCTGGTTAGTAGGCCGTGCAAACTGAATCATTCCAGTAAATATTTCTTTTAAAAATCGGAACTATTTTAAAAATAACTTTTTAAAATTATGGCTATTAAATCGTGACATAAGATCTAAAATTAGTCACTGCTGAAAAATAGAATATTAATTTTAATCAAGGATTTACTTGGACATTTTATTTACTATTAAAAACAAAAAATATCATCCAATAAACATTGCTGAGGAGAGCAATTTTTGACGTCACACACAGGTAGAGCTAAAATCCTCTAACTGACGATAGAGTTTGAGGCAGCTCTACGTCAGCTACACTTTACAAGGATCGCAGAAACTATAGAAGATAAATTCTTGTGCGGCGGTTGCAAAAAAAAAGTAACCCAGGCAGCCCCAAATCAGCTTCGCTTCCAAGGCTAGCAGAAAGCGATGAGGGAATTCGAAGCTGATTTCTCGAAAAGGTTTCCCCAAATTGAGATCCAGGCAGCTTTAAGTCAGCACCGTTTATAAGGATAGCAGAAAACAAGGGGGAATGCGAAGCTGATTTCCGGAAAAGTTTTCCCTAAATTGGGATCCAGGCAGCTCTAAGTCAGCACCGTTTACAAGGATAGCAGAGAAGTGGAAACGTTGTATTCAGGCCTCATTATTAGAGGTAAGCTTTGGCGTAAAATAGAGTTCAAAGCAAATTTGCAAGGATTACAGAAAACTTGAGGCGACGATTTTGAGGCTGGTTATACTAAACTAGATAGAGTTCTGGGCAGCTCTATGTGCGAGAATCGCTTATAGGGACGACAGAAAGTAATGGGAGTAAAGCGTTATGCTCGCAATAGAGGGGCAGGCAGTTTACAGTTAGCTTTTCTTATAGAGAATTTGAAAAGTTTTACGTTTATTCTGTCAAGTTCCGAATTAGCTCAGCTCTAAATATAACTTCTACAGATTACTATCATTCCAGGTGATCCAGAGCTATTGTTCTACTGCGCATTCATCATCAAGAGTTAGCAATCAACTAGCATAGAAAAGTTCAAAAGAATCATTATTCCTGGCTTCCTGAATGAAATAAAAAGAGTCTAAACTTTATACTCACTATTTACTTATCGTGTAAATGATGAAAGGCCAAAATTATTATTCTTGTTCAAATATCAATATTATTATTTGAACTTCAATAAAACTTTCTTTTGCAGACTTTTACTTTAGCAGAAATAGGTATTCTGATAATTTGCAACTCTAATATCAAGTTCATAAAACTAGAAAACTTTGTGCTTAATTTCATACAAAAGTTGTCTGAAAAATTAGTTTTTATAAGCTCGTAGTTTGTTTTATAAGTAGAACTTGAACAAAAGTGATTCAAGCACAAGTGAAGCTCTGGCAGTTTAGTTTAGGTCATGGTATATTGATTTTTAATTATCAATATCAGCTCTCTAAGTTAACTCAAGCAGGATGATTCTAACTTTAAGGCCCACATGAATGTAAATTTACATTTAAATATTGAAAATTTGAATGTCCTTTTTCCGATTTAACGTAAATTTACATTACAAAATACACTTGGAATCACACACAAAAGGTAAGCAGGATCTTGACAGGTAAGACAAAAACGGCACACAAAAACTTACAAAGAACAGGTAAAAAAAATGTGGCGTATCCAGGAGCACCACTTAACTCTGGGAGCCCGCAGTAACTGTTCGTAAAATTCCCGAAAAACCTGCAGGAAACCGGGGACCTTAGTTGGACGGTGCGCACGCAAACGTATCCAGCAGTACTCCCACGGTTCTAGAGTTATTTTGGAAAACCGCCGATTTTTTTCATCAGAGTTACGTTACTTATGCTAGAAACGAAATACGCTGTACATTTTTGGCCAACGATTTGACTTGGCTGGAATATCATACGTTTGTTCTGCATTTAATTTCAAGAAATCGTAGAGATGAGAACAGAACATCGGAGCAAAGAGATTTTGATACATGATGCCATTTATCTTAATTAGAACAATAACAGATTACTGCAATTGAGTGATGCTTCTAGAGTTGCAACTTAATGATTATGGCTTTCCATCATTCACCCATGTCTGTAAATGCCGTATTTACATTTGGCTCCATTTATAATTTGTATTGAGGATCTACAAGGACTTGACTATTAGAACCAGAGATGGATATTAGTATTAAGCAATCTAGGATTTTTTTGATATGACCCAAAAAACTTTTGGTTTATTCTGGCACAAATATTTCACATTAAAAGTTCATTATTTTGTTCACAATAACCTGGATCTATTTAGTGAATTGTCGCATTTTTGGCAACAGTCTTTGGGTTATTATTGAAGACGCCTCGGTTTTAAAAATAGCCGGGCCTCATAATTTACGTGTTATTGTAACAAATCGACGTAAATATTAAGCTATACACATCTGGAAGTTTACAATTTATTATACAATATAACAATAATGCAATAATAATTTTTCATAATTCACCTACTTTTCCATTTTTCTCACTCTTGAATCCATACATGCTATATATAAATCACCAAACTATTGGAAATTAAGTAACAATTCGAAAAATTCTGATTATTATCTAAGTATTTTAAGTATACCTACCAGTCAGATAAACTTCAATTTTAGTTTAGTAGATAAATTAGTATGTACCTACTAGAATCCTAAATTCCATTCAATCGTGACCGAATTTTTCAAAATCGTCCCCTGTTCCCAGTCTCACGCCAGGCGTTACATTACTATAAATTGTCTCTCCGCCAGCCAAAATCGATCCTCATTCCCCAAAAGTTCCATAATCGAAAATTGAATGATTGCAAAATCTTGTAATCCGGTAGTGGAAACTACGTGGACATTTGTCAGGTTTCCAAATCGAGTCGAGAACCATTTGGAATCGTCGTTTACGATGATAAAAATGCAATTGGAGTATTTGTTTTTATAGTATTCCATGGCATTTAGAAAAAATTGAGGATTCACCGGTGATATTCCAATATTTCCTAAAAAAAAAATCAATACAGGTTATCAATAGGTAAGAACAAATATGTTTAAAAGAATAAAGCCTTAACTACTGGAGTAGGACTTCAAACTCCGTGTATTATTATTACCTTTTAATATATTCAATATAGTTCTTCTTCAACTCCTTGATAAAATCACTGAAAGTTTCCTCAACTTTATCTCTTAGATACCTACTTTTTAAAATGAAATTCTCGAACAATATCCTTAGGCCAACTCATGATCAGAAATATATCTTGGGAAAATTATGCTTTAAAAGTTAAAAATTTGGATACAAAACTCCTGGATGAAAAACTTTTTGTGAGTATTTAATGCATATAAGAAAATTTCTTCCACGGTTTTGTCAAATGTATTTAATTCCAATGAACAATGTGAAATTTCTTCAAAACCAGGTATTGTCAGCCCTTCATAAACAGCATCCAGTGATGATTTGGTATATTTTGGCATGTAAGGCTTGATTGAGCCCTGTTTGCCCTGACCATGTAAGTATAATCAAATGGTACTTACTAGTTCAGGACAAAGTTTCTTATCAGTCTTTGATAATACTTTTTTGTTCCAATTTAGCTTTTCTTTACATAATTCTCCATAGGGTAATATCGAGCGAATATCAAATTTAACACTACTATTGATATTATTTATTGGAAAATTGTTTTCTATAGACTAATTAAAATTATCGGCATAAATAATTTACTGTGCTTTGAAAACGAAAACATACCTTAACTTTTCTCTCTTGTTTCATATATATTTTGTTTGGCTTTGTTAATCAACTAATTCGAACTCAGGTGTCATAGAAGTTATTTTATACACTAACCCATAACAACATACTGTTACGCTGCGCTTTCGCCATGGTGAGCAGAATCTAACTTGAAATCTAGAAAATATTGCCTTATTCGGGCAAAGAGATAATCGCGTTCATTCTGGATTTTACAAAAATGGATTACAGATATACAGGGCTTTCATTTCAAAACTTGCCACCCACGTTATCTGACTATAAAATCGAGATGTTAGTTCAAGGTTGTCACCGCTTTAATTATGCAAATAAGGCAATCGGAATATAAAATCGATATGTTTATGTTAGTTCAAGGTTGTTACCGCTTTTGCATACATTGAGTGCCGACTCATAGATAGGCATTTACTTATACATACCGTGCGTTCGTTATTTTGGTCCGAGTTCTCCGAGCTTGACTTTACCGTTCGTTTATTCAAAAAGTGTACTCGGTGTATCCTCATTCGCGTTCGTTTATTAAAATTTCTGGCACTTTTATACAACGTTCATCTGCTCTGTTCGCTCGCTGGTCACGTGGTTACGGCTCCGCTCTGCACGCTCTGCTCTTCGAGCAAAATACCGAACGCAAGGATAATAGAAGTCGGGTAAGTGTTTGGAAGAAGTCCGGAGAGGTCAGGAAAGGGCTGGATAAGGTCGGGAGAAATCTAGACAAGTCTGGATAAAGTCTGGATAAGGCTGGAAAAAGTTTAGCTAAGTCTGGAAAAGTTTGGATAAGTTTGGATAAAGTCTGGAAAAGCCAGAAAATTTCTGGAAACGTCTGGAAAAGGCTCTATTAGGTCTGGAGAAATCTAGACAAGTCTGGATAAAGTCTGGAAAAATCTACCCAAGTCTGGATAAAGTCTGGAAAAGCCTGGAAATTTCTGGAAACGTCGGAAAAAGGCTGGATAAGGTCTGGAGAAATTCAGACAAGTCTGGATAAGTTCTGGAAAAGTGTATTTGAAGTCGGGAAAGTGTTTGGGAGAAGTCCGGAGAGGTCAAAGGGCTGGATAAGGTCTGGAGAAATCTAGATAAGTCTGGATAAAGTCTGGATAAAGTCTTGCTAAGTCTGGAAAAGTCTGGATAAGTTTGGATAAAGTCTGGGAAAGAGCCAGAAAATTTCTAGAAACGTCTGGAAAAGGCTCTATTAGGTCTGAAGAAATCTAGACAAGTCTGGATAAAGTCTGGAAAAATCTAGCTAAGCCTAGAAAAATCTGGATACAGTCTGGAAAAGCCTGGAAATTTCTGGAAACGTCTGGAAAAGGCTTAATAAGGTCTAGAGACATTCAGACAAGTTTGGATAAAGTCTGGAAAAGAGCCAGAAAATTTCTGGAAACGTCTGGAAAAGGCTCTATTAGGTCTGGAGAAATCTAGACAAGTCTGGATAAAGTCTGGAAAAATCTAGCCAAGTCTAGAAAAGTCTGGATAAAGTCTGGAAAAGCCTGGAAATTTCTGGTATCGTCTGGAAAAGGCTTGATAAGGTCTGGAGAAATTCAGACAAGTCTGGATAAAGTCTGGAAAAGTGTATTTGAAGTCGGGAAAGTGTTTGGGAGAAGTCCGGAGAGGTCAGAAAAGGGCTGGATAAGGTCTGGAGAAATCTAGACAAGTCTGGATAAAGTCTAGCTAAATCTGGAAAAGTCTGGATAAGTTTGGATACAGTCTGGAAAAGCCAGAAAATTTCTGGAAACGTCTGGAAAAGGCTCTATTAGGTCTGGAGAAATCTAGACAAGTCTGGATAAAGTCTGGAAAAATCCAGCCAAGTCTAGAAAAGTCTGGATAAAGTCTGGGAAAGTCTGGAAATGTCTGGAAACCTCTGGAAAAGGCTTGATAAGGTCTGGAGAAATTTTGACAAGTCTGCATAAAGTCTAGCTAAGTCTGGAAAAATCTGGATAAAGTCTGGAAATTTCTGGAAACGTCTGGAAAACGCATGGAAATTTCTGGATTGGGTCGGAAAAATTCTGGAAAATCTGGAAAGGGTTGAATTTTAGCGGATCTCAAAGCTCACAATAATCACAAGCATTAGCGTTGAAGTTTGCTTCGGCATTTTCAATGTTCTCCTCGGTTGCATCTTTGTGAAGGACTGTGAATTTGTTACTTATGTGACAATTCTCTGACAATATGCCTATTAGCTGTGCTATTAGATATTGCTCTGTAGATGGTTGTTTTTCAAAGCAAGGAAGTGGTTTAATATTTTTTCTAGGTCCAATAGAAGAATCTAGGTATGTATAGGGTTTTCCAATAGTAACGCTCGATGTTTGACAATAGCCCATGAAAAACTCGATAGTCACACAGGTGCTATCTTTGGCAGCCGTATTCAATTAGTCTCTGCATTTTATTATGGAGCGCTACACGATTGAGCAACGCGTCGGAATTGTTAAAAATTATTATCATTATCAAAACCAATGTTCTATTCGGAAAACGTTTCGTGCACTCCGTGCAATTTATGATGTCAACGATCGTCCTTCAGAATCCACAATTGGCCGACCTAACGTCACTGGATTTTTTTCTCTGGGCATTCTAAAATCCAAAGTCTATGTTGACAAATCTCGAACGGTTGCCGCCTTAAAGGCCAATATTAAGCACTTATTGCTGAAATTGAGCCATTTTTATGCGATAACGAACACTAAATGATTCTAACGACAATCTAAAATTGTCGGAGAAATGTATTGATAATTCGGATATTGTTGAAAACATCTATGAGAAGTAAAGTCCGTCGATTTTAATCTAATACTCGAAAGGAATGTGAGCTGGTGGCACCCTACATTTGAACGCCAATGGTCACCTAAGGTCACCCCTGGTTTTCGCTTCACCCCCTCGCTCCTCATACGAAAAGTCGACGAACAATACTAAAAGAAGGAAGATTCAGGGACTTGACCAAATCTGCAATACTTTCTGCAAGAAATGTTGATGTCGAAGAAATAAACGAATAAGTTGTCGAACTGTTGGACGTCAAGACCGAAAAA